CAGGGAAACCATGGATTACCAGCATAAGAAGAAGCCAAGATGTTAACTCTCAGTTTGAAACTGGTTTAATATCCTGGATTTTTCCAACTCTGGTTACCATAGTGTCTCAGTTCAGGCAAAATGGGAAAGTGGTTAATTAAAGACTTGTTTTAATTGTTCATGCTGTGAAGGGAAGAGCAAATTGGCAGGCAAAAGACTCATTCATATCTCAATTTATTAATCACAGTTGACTAAACCAGGACATGATGAAAGTAATCAGAATAAACAGAGCACAACATATTTGGTAGCACATTTATATGCAAAATTAAAGGCTTGTTTGAATGATCTCTAAGGGCTTGACCTTTCCAAGCAGTCTTTTTTCTTTTTTCTTCAAACAGCAAGCCATCTCAATAATTGCTTTTGAAAGTTATCTTATTCAAAAGTGGTGTGCCATGTGTTATGAAGAGCAGATGTTGGAGAAATACAAGACAACCAGCATGAAACTAGTTGTACCATCCTTTAGATTGTGGCTGTGATACACAATTCTCATTTTAATATTAAAATCTAACCTGATGCAGTCTACCTTCAAAGGCTCTCCTTCAGTCATTAGCATTCTCATTAGGACTGAAACTACATGATGATTACAGTATTAAGCACAGCTATATTTACTATTGATATCCTGTCCTTTTATTGTAGGACAGCCAATATGGGTCAGGAAATGTCATTTGATCTGTGATATAACTGGGAAGCTCAGTAATACCTAGTTCTTTGGGCGCTGTTATTTCTGATGCTTTATCATTTCCATGCAGGAAAAACTGTACTCCAAATAGGATGAACTTGTATATTCATGTTTCACCAGCTGTGCATATAGTAATAAGTCCCTGAATACTTTCACCTTCATGGAAATGAGTTTTGCATAGGAAAACCATAATATGAATTAGTTGCAACCCTAATTTGTCTCAACAAAGGATGTTTTGTAAAATAGGAAATTACAATGCTATTTGCTTTCCCATAACAAACCTTTTGCCAACATTTGGTACTTACTGTTTGTCTTTTGAAACAGTGGCTGTTCCCCCATAAGGACAAATGGGGTTATATCTCCCACATACACAAAAGGATGAAAATTAACCAATTAAAGATTTTTGTGTGCCCTAGACTAGCCTCATCCTGATTTTCTTTCAGTTAACTAGACCTCTTGTGACTAAGGTGCTAGTCTCAAACTGGCTTTTTGGTTAGGCTTCTCTCATGCTGGCAGGAAACCAGGGGCATGGAAGGAGGGAGCAGACTCCATGTTTGAGGTTGTATGAATGATTTCCTTCCAAGGTCACGTTTCTATGATTACGCCAGGATAGAAGTAATAGATTGAAAGGGGTTTGTGCTTTCTTTAGGAGAGAACTATCATTCTTTAGAAGAGAACTATCAAATTGCCAGGCCAATAAACATTTTTGCATTTTCTTTAACAAGTAATTCAGATGGTGCAGCACTTATTTACACTTCAGTAAAGGAAAATAAGAATATTGATTTAGTATATAAGTATATTGTCCAGAAATTATATGGATTCCCCTTCAACATACCTGCTGTTGTTGTGGAAAAAGATGCAGTATTTATGTAAGTTATTTAGAAATTAGTTTGTCTTATATATTAAAAATGCACTGTATTCCTAATATCTAACAGGAATGTTCCTGTTAAGGATTTCCTCTAGCCATTGGAAAAGGAGCCTTGTAGTAATATTCTGGCTCATGTGAAGGTAGAGGAAAAATAACTTCCAGTTTCATTTCACATCCTACTAAAATGTAACCCTGCCATATTATATAGTACTAAACGTCATTTATAAAATTACCGAAACTTTAGCATTTTATTGTTATATATTGGATTGTGAGGGGAGATGTTTCTGTAGAACAATCCAACCTTTCTTATGTAGTACAGGGACTTAATTTTTTAACATGGTGTGTGTTGCCCTTGGACTTGAAAATTCTTGTTATGGCTTAAACAGTAGAAGTATTTTGTACAGGATACATAAGGGAGCCAAACCTTGAGTGAGTGAATTTGAAAATATGTCTTCAGTCCTGCAGGATGGGACAATGAAAAGAAGATCGGAATTTTACATGAAAACTTCCAGACTTTAAAAGTGGGTGACAATTTTGAAGATATTATTACAAAGCCACCTGTCAGAAAGGTAACTACCTACTGAATGAGCTCACATGACACAGCAACCCATTCTGTATATATGCTACTGAATATGGCTTGTTTTAGAATAACCCATAGTGTACTTGACAGATGATTTGACTTAACTGTTGTTTGTTTCCCCCCCCCAACACCTTCCCCCATATCTTCCAGCTAGTATCCCAAACATCCTCAAGACAGACTTCATATTGCCTTTTCTCCTCTGCTCTGATCATGACCCCTTTTCTTTGTCATTTTTTTTGTGTATGTTTTTTTCTGGAGGCTAGTGACAGCTGCTCCACTGATGCTCAAATAGCACTTTGGAGCAAATGTCACTTGCTTGTTAACCTCCTAACATTTGGTGGGGTGGGGTGGCAGACATGTGTGCAGTTCCGTTCCAAGTTTTAAAAATGTGATCTTGTGCAGCTATCATAATTTGGAATACTCAGAATGTTACATCACTTAAGAAGCATTACCACTGTATCAAGCATTGCCAGATTATTTGTATCGGCATTGTACATATTAATGGAAGTACTGCAGTGGTAATGCTTTTAAGGGCTGCAGCCAATAATTTGAAATTAGGCTTAGCAGTACAGTATTTAGGCAGCCAGTGCAGGGGTAATAAATACAGGTTAATGTGCTTTCTGCAGCCAACCCCAATAAATACTTGGGCTGCTGTATTATTTACTAGCTGCAGCCTCTGAAACTGCCTTCAAGAATACCCATATGTAGAGAGCATTACAACAGTTGATGAATATTCTGACAAAAAAAAAAAAAAAATTGTAGCTGTTCTTTGCATTGACTTTGATGAGGTCTTAATCCCCATATCGGTGTTTGTCATCAGCGTGTTCTAGTTGAATTTATTGTGTTAAAAACAAACATTTTAGTCAGAGGCCTATACAGACAAGTTGCCAGAAAAATTGGGCAGGAGGTGCTGTTGCACTCATTTCCAGCTTCTGGGATCTCAAGGGCAAGTTGGATGGCCACTGTCTGAACAGAATACTGGACTAGGTAGACTGTTGGCCTGATCCTGTAACATTCTGTCTATGTTCTTGCATTTTTAATGTATTCTTTCTTTCTTTCTTGCAGTTTGTACATGAGAAAGAGATAGTAGCAGAAGATGACCAAGTATTTTTAATGAAGCAACAAGTATGTGTACTCTACCTATGCGTTTAAATTATATTTGTATTTGAATTTATTGCCAACTTTTTATACAAAACATGTTGATTTTATTTTGTAGTCTCTGTTAGCAAAACAGCCACCTACTGCAGCTGGAAGACCAGTGGTGAGTAGATACTCATAATTTAGCAGTATATATGTGTAGCTGAACTCAATGGAACTTAGTTCTGAGTAGATGTATATAGGGTTGCACTGTAAAGATTTTGTTTTATATGTTTGTAGAAAAATGCCCCAAAACATAAATTTTGAAAAATGTATTCATATCTAGATTTTTCAGGCAACTTTCTGGGGCCATGAAATAAAGAAGTCAGTCAGCTTTTTGAATGTGCATTCCAGAGCTTTGCCAGCTTCTGTATGAGAACGCGGTTGATGGAGGGTAGGGATAGAAGTTATCAGAAGTTAATTATAGAGTATCCTCTTATAAAGTTTCCTAATAGGAATTATCAAACATTTTTCTGATCTAGGATGAGGTTCTTAAAACTTAAAAGTAGCCAATAATTAGGTTCAGTGTACCTTGCTGCTTCGTGTGTCCAAAACACCACAACTGACATTCACATTCATAGTTCTTATGACAGTAGCATAACTTCCACAGCTGTTGAAGTGGGATTTTTATGACAATGCAATGTCAGTTTTCTATCTCTTTTAAAGTATTTCCATAAATGCTTTTAACTGTATCATCTGTTACGAGTTACTTTCTCATCCAAATTTGCGAAGACTTTTTGTAACAAGTATTTGATGTAACTTGTTTGATGATTATCATTACCTTTGAGAGGAACATTTAGTCCTAGAGGCTCAATGGGCTTGAGTACTTCAGCATATTCTCAAATTTTCAATATAGGATACCTCACCAAGAGTCCCTGGAGGATCCCCTCGGACACCAAACAGATCAGTAACCTCCAATGTTACCAGTGTTACACCCATTCCTGCTGGATCCAAAAAAATTGATCCCAGTATGAAAGGTAAAATATTGAGAGTAAATAGTCTTACCACCTTTTCTAAATATTGGGTTCTGGATCCAGACTTAGTCATATTTAGAGTAAATCAATTAAAATTATTGGGCATAAGTTACCAATTTCAGTGAGTTACATTTAAGAATTGGAATCCAAACATTATATTTCAGCAGTAAACATGCTTTGTTCTACCTTTCTCTAAAATATTATTATATGAATGATTGATAGCTACTTGCATTTTAAATAAAGGGAAGCAACTATTCATGTTTCAGTCAGGTGAAAACTGCTATAGCTTTGGTGTGTTTGAATCTCTCTTTCAAGCAAGGAAATGTTATTTTAGATAGGATGACATAAAATTCTAGTTCATTATATGCCCTTTCTATAATCCCTCAAAAGAAATTGTGGCAGCAGTTTAATCACTATCTAGATAATGCAGTCATCAACGGGGCCATGTAGTATCAAAATGTTCTGGTGGTTAAGCAGTAATTCTGTTTGGTTGCTGGGTTTTAACTATCAGCTTCTGTAATAGTAACTTACAGTTAGCTTTGAATTTTAAAATCATAATGTGTATGATTGGAAGCATGTATTTCTGTTTCAAGATTTTAAATTGAACTAATTCTTATCAGTGCATTTGGGAATTCTTTTAAATACTTTTTCTAGCTGGTGCTACAAGCGAAGGAGTTCTGGCTAACTTTTTCAATAGCTTGCTGAGTAAGAAAACTGGCTCACCTGGTGGACCTGGCGGTGTTGGTAGTCCTGGAGGAGTAGGAGGCACTGGGAGTAGTGGCAGCAGCAGCTTACCAGCATCTACAAAAAAATCAGGTAAGAACAGGGTACAGACAGTTAGGGTTTGGATAAAAAGGATTCTTAAATAAAGTAGAGCTTCAAACTAATGAAGTTTTTGCTTTTTTAGGAGGTAAGAAAATGAGTCTTAAATATTAAAGTTTAGTTATTGTTGTCTTTGCTAATTATATTATCATAGAATCTTACCATTTGAGAGGGATTCCAGGCTTCAACTTATACATTTTTGTGCACAGTGGCAGTATGTGTAATGCATCCTGCAGCAGGGAAGCATCTCTAAACATGAGAAAAGATTACTGTGGTCACCACCATTCAACAGTTTCAGTTAACTATATGTTCAGGGGTAGAGGTGTGCTGAGAAGATCTGGGTTCAGTTTTGCCTTTTTCATCACAAGTGATAAATCTGTCAAAATTCTTGGGGATGTGTCCTCCTTAATCAGGGAGGATCACTGTGTGACCAGTGCTGTGTGCCAGATGCAGAGCTTCGCTGTTGCATTCCCCCATCCTTCACAAAACGCACTACACAGTAATCCTTTTTCATATACAGGGACCGGTCTTTATGAGATCTGTGTACAGACAGCCCTTGTTAGGTCAGGGGCTAGTCAGTTATCACCTGTGGCATAAGACTTGAGCTGAGGAGCCCACAAAGTTTTACTGGCTTGTTAGCCAGTCATAAATTGTGGCACCACTGAACCCTCGCCTCTTCAAGGCTTCTGTGCCTTCCAGAGAACTTTGGGATCAGTGAGGAAATCTCTGTACCACAAAGGTTTTGGAAATAGCAAAAGGCAATGTGAGCCTCATTTTGCTTTTGCCTGCTCCAAGTGGTCATACAGTGTAGGAAAACCTCTTGAAAATAATATGGCAAAGAGACATGCACAAGGTACAGGACTGGCAGCTGAACCTCCACTAATTGCAATGTTCCGAAACATAAGTAACAGTAAGAGTTACATTGATGGATTAATCTGAATTTTTGGTGTGCCTTCTGTCATCTTTATTGACTGTAGTATCAATATGGAAAACGGCCTCTCACAACATTCTTTGATGGGCTTTGCTTTGCACTGCAGTATCATAGATACATTAGTCTCATTACTGTCCCCTCTGTGTTGAAGGCAATGAAGTTGCAAGCCTTTGAGTGCAGAAGCTGCAGCAAACAATGAAAGCTGTGAATATGTATCAGACCACTGCATACCATTGCTCAGCTCAAATTCCAGGTTACATTACAGTTCCCCACCCCACAGCATGTGGGAACATATGAAACCACCTGTGCATGGGCAGTTCATATTTAGTATAGATACATTTGTGCATCCATGGAGGTTGGATATGGGAGATAATTCTTCCAAAAGAGCCCTTTTGCTAGTACTGTAGATTGCTTTGCTTACAGACTGGTCAGTAGGAAAACTTTCTTGTCAAACTTGTCCTAAGACAATCAAGCTAATACTAATCAGTACTGCAAAACATTATAATATCAAGTTGTAATTAAAGGTTTAGCTATGTATTATTTCAGTAAATTGTGATTGCTAAGGCAATGACTGAATTCACACAACAGGACAGCACAGTGTAAGGAGCTAGCCATGACAGATTGTTCTGTCATCTAGGAGTCCAATTCTATTGTGGTTGATGCAATCAGCTACACAATCTTTTAGCAAGTATGACAAAAAGCCTGCATTGCTTTTTGTGATCTTGCCAGGGACTGCCCTTCCAGCAGTAAATGGAGGGGAAATTTGTGGACCTGCTATAACAGAGCAAGTACTTCAGGTGCGCAAATTTTGTCTCCATTTACTTTGCAGCTGTTAAATTCGCATATATTTTCCTGGGCAAAAGAATGTCCCAATGTTCCCAACAATTTTCCCAACTGCAATAACTGGAGCAGTAAGTGTTTTAAAAAGTAGCCACAAAAAGTATGGATGGGAATTAATAGCTTCCCTTTCTGGACACACTGGAGAGTTGGAAAATGTTGGACTAAGGACTGTCAGTTCAAAACAGAAAAGTATGGGAAATCACTGTGCCAAGAGAAAAATACTGTGTGTACCCACTTTTGTCACCCTTATTCCATTGGTTCCCCCACCCTATTTTTGGTGCTTCTGAGCTGTATTCACCAGGGTTCTCCCTCCTTTTATTTCTCCCCTGGCTTTTTGCAATTGTATACAAGATAGCTAGAGGCAACTTGGTCTTGTCAATTTTTCTTGTATGTTAGCTACTCCACTTGATAACTTTGACAGCTGAAACACACAAGGAAATTGAGTAGAAAAGACTTACACCTGATACTTGTAAAGGGGGCCTTGTGAAAAATTGGCAACCTGGGGGTGGGGGAATGTATGACCTACAGTTGCACTTTTTGAGTCTCCCAAAATAAAAATGCAACAAAAAGGAATAGTGAAGTAGAACTGGGGAGAGTAGACAACATGGGTTCTGCTATGGACACCGGGATATGTGTCTGAAGACTAAAGAGGGAGAAAACCCACAGCAAGCCTGATCTTCTGTCAGGTGTGCTATGTGGTGTTCAGTAAACATATAAGTGGTATAGCTTATTCACAGAGGATAGCTTAGCATAACATGCAAACCCACCAATACTGCAGAGTAATACAGCCAGAAGAAGCCATTTAGACTTTATGTAAGGGGTTACTATAGTGGGGCCACATTCAATCAACTATGTTCTTAGTCCTCTGAAAGAACGGTGGTACCTCAAATGATACACGTTGGAACTGCACCTTAGTATTGCTGTTTGAAATATTTAGTAATGACTGGGTGTTGAGTTCTGTAACAAAAACACTTGGCCTGCTCTACTTATGGGAAAAGTTACACTTAACATGCTACATTTTGTATCCTCCTTTATTTATACAGGCCAAAAACCTGTCTTAACAGATGTTCAAGCTGAATTGGACAGAATGTCACGAAAGCCAGATTTAGTCTCTCCAACAACACCTACATCCCCCACAGAAGGTGAAGCATCTTGAAGACACCAAATATAGCCATTTATTTGGTTTTTTTGGATAATTTAAACTTGCCTCTGCCTCTTCCTTCAGTGACTGGAACTAGGGAGCTGAAACACTTTTTCAGAGAAGGACAAACAGTTGATGTCTTTTGTGTTGCCCAACTTTGTAAAAGGGAACTGTAAAGATGGAAAACTATCACATACTCTAAGACTCCTGTTCACAGTGCAATGTGGCATTAAGAAGTATCTAATTCTTGGATTTTGTTTAAAAGCCTGTCATACTGTAAAATTGAATGTGTCCACAATCATTTGTAATGCAAAAGGCTGCTTGAAGAGTTGAAAAGGTGATATGCAACATGGGCACTTAATTTATATTGATCTCCCAACCTTTTTAGTTTAATGCAATTTTACAAATTAACCTCAAGGGAGAGAATTTACTAGTTTTTGTTGGAAAGAGACTGATCAACTGTTGTTCTTTTGTGCACCATCAATAAACTAACTACAATAAAATTGAATACTTCATTTGGAATATGAGTTGAGATGTCACTGATCTCATTTGAATTTTGAACAATATTTAAACAACTTGAACTAAAGTGTCATGCCAGAACAATGTGTGAAACTACTGAGGATTCACTACCAGATGCTTTTTAAACTTCTGGGGTAATGTTGGATAGCTTTGGTTATTTTTTAGAAAAGTCTTGGACATTCTTGGAAAGTTTCTGGGGGAAAAACACCTTGCTGGAGAACCCCCAAGACCTCCAGCAATTTATTCTCACCATACAAATCTAAGTCAATTCTCAGTGCACTTTACAAATGTGCATATAGGTTTTCATCTTTGATGAACCAGCCATAAGTTTCACACATACTTTTTAAAATCACCTTTCAAGCTGGTTAAACAAATGTAGATATTTCTGGAAGATGTTGTTTCATGTTTCTCTCCTAAAGCAACTATTCTTCTTTTCAAAACCTTTTGTTTTAATAGTGCTCCTAGTTCTCTGCCATCCAAGGAGCTGATTAGGTCCATACACTCATAGCTTTAACAATGCTGTAACTTACATGATTCCACATTCTTCAATGGGTCTACAGCAGCATTTCTAAGAAATATTTCAAATGTACAGACATAATCACATATTAAATACTGTGAATTCATTAACATCAGATCCTGCTGTTCATGTTCAATGTAGTGTTTTGCAGAAGATAAAAGTGCTGTTCCCAGCAGAAAGGGATGATGTGTTGGTGTTTAGCTTTAATGCTTTAATTAAGGTTCCAATGTTAGTTTTTTGTTGGTAGAGTAGGATATACAAGGGATGGAATTAACATATACATGGATTTTAAATCTGTGTTCCTCCAAAGGAATATTAACCCCTGAACGGTGGGCTCAGATCTGTTCTTGCAATTTCCCTCACATTCAAATGCAGTTTGCAATCTCATTTGAAGAGCTACTGTTCAAAACAAACAAGTGCAAAGCACTCTTAAACATCTGGCTCTATTTATATGGTTCTTCTGATCATGTAATATATCTCTCCATATGGTGCCACAGTATTTGTGACAATGGAAAGAATCTGCATGTTACTGTGGTCAACTTGAGAGTGCAGCTTTTAAAACTTAACAGTAAAATGCAAGGTTTCTTTGTAGTGTAGAACCTGTTTCAGCTTAGGTAAAGAAACTGTTTGAGCTGTTTGTGGTCTGCATTTCCAAAAGCAGTTTTGAAATGATTGTTTCATCAATGTAATGCTGTTTAGACTGAGAATTCTGAAAGGAAAAAGCCTGTCCATAGATAACTGATAAAGAATAAAGTTCAAATTGCAATTGTAGTATTTTAAACTATTAAGATCAAACTTTGCTGAGTGATTGCTTAATCTGACATGGAGCAACTTTATGGAAGATGGTTTGAAGTTTTTCACTTCTAATCAAATGCATGGAATAAAATATACCTTGGAACAGATTACTACTGTGTAAACACAGTGAACATTTTGATGTGCATTTAAGATGTGCATGAGTTTTTGCTACAGATGAGGTAAGTAATATCTTTCTATTCATTTATATATTAGAATTAAATTGTGTTTAACAATGTATTCGTGTAATGTGTGTCTTCAAGAATCACAGTACTTAGTTTGTTCTTAAATATTCTGAATTTATCAAGTCTAAGGGCTTTTCTGAAGACATCAAACAATTATATTTCAAACAAATATTACAAAGGTATGTGTATATCTCTCTTGCAAGGAAAATAAGGTAGATAATAATTTTCTCCTAATGTGAGATATTTGCAAATGTTTAATGAATACATTTTAATAGGAAGATAACCTTTAAAAGGACAAAAACAAGTGTATCAATTGCTAAGCTGCCAGTGTAAATTAGCAGTCAGTTCTATAAAAGCAGCTGAAGGAGAAGGAAGAGTGAAAGATCAAGATGAGAGGATAAACTTTGTTACATGGTTAAAAATAATAGAATACTTTATATTTCAATAAAAATAAAGTACATCAAAGTACAGTAAACTCAGTTAAATGGAAAGATCTAGCATAGGTTGAGAACATATTCTGTCTACCTTCCAGGGAAAGAGAGCATTGTGGAGCTTCCAGAGAAAGAGAGCATTGTGGAGCTGCCACTGACATTCTCCATCCCTTCATTTGAATTTTGCACATGGTTTGTGTCAAATACATCACAGTCCAAGTTCACTATGGGTTATAGGGGCAAAGGCACCTTTTCAGGTAGGTTGAGCATTAACACTCAGTATGGGTATTTAGGATCACATTTGTATCAGGGAGGCATAAAAGTAGCTTTTCTTGATGCAGTGACACCAAGCCGCCTCCCAAAACAACAAGAAATGGTAACTATATGACTTAATAAGTGGTTCAAATAAACATTTCTACTTTGCTAGGCTTAAATGTTTTAATCACTTTTAATTTTCCTCAAACACATTTTGTAGTCAAACGGGCATTTTTATAGAAATTCCTACAATGCTCAGTTTTAAATGTTTATATCTAGAAATACCTACAGTGCTCATACTTGCAGCATGTTTTAACATTGTATTTCCAAAATATCCTACAGACTTGCTGCATGTTTTTGAGACCAAGATTGAGCTCAATGTTGCAACAACTTCTATGCTGAACTAACCAGAAGAAATGAGAGGCAACTGTTCCCTCTCTCATCTCTCCTTGTATATACGTACAAGACCAGTCTTGTCCTTTCCAGTTTATTTTGGCCATTATTTCCCTGCTAATTTATATTGCATTATGAAGGAAAAATTTCCTTCTTGCGGATATCCACAAGATGGAGATGGTAGTCACTTGAATAAGTAAAGAAACAAGTGATGCTAGTTTATCCATACTAAAGGATATAGGCTGCAGGGCAGTTTACCTGTAAAGTGTTTTTGGACCCTCACATCATTATGCTTAAAAAGTTACAAGAACTGCTCCTTCAAGATATGGCTGTGCAGTATTAATGGAGTAAAGCTGTTTGTATCATACTGTTTATACTCTCATTTTGCCTTTTCTCAATAGATGTGTGAATCACTAATCTTCCAATACACTCTAATTCACATTTACATGGAAGTTAGTCACACTGAAATTTAATGGGACTTGCCTTGAATAAAAGTGTGCAGATTCAAACCACAAGAGAGCTTTGCCTAGTGCTAAGCAATAGGACTTGAAACCAGTATCGCAGCCCTGGCAGTTCACTGCTTTGGCTCCATGACAGTACAGATCATTGCACTCACCAGTTGAGACTACAAGGCCATTTAAAAACTATCACTTAAATTTTGTGTTGTTAAAGGCAGCATAATGTGCATATAAACCACCAGGTAAGTGGACCATCTTCCCTGTTCTTAGTGTTAAGAACCTTGTTGGATTATTGTGCCATATTAGAAATCCAGAAAAAGATGCATGATGTGTTTACACATATGATTAATGTGGTAGGTTTATTATAATTTTATTTACAGTGTATATTCCTTTTCTAGCATTCCATTGGTTTTCTGTTTATATTAAAAACATAAAGCACTATCACACCATAATAAAATAACATGAGCCACACAAATTCCACATCTGTCTCCATATTTGGTAAATATTGTCTGCTTTCATTTTCCCCTATTGTGTTCCAGTACAAGGCTACGAATTTCCCCAAGTACCACTACACATACATTTTAAATCAAATGTACTTTCCAGTCAGTGCTACTTTCAAAGTCATATGCATATTAAGTACTGTACAGACTCTCTTCTGCTTTCTATCTTTAACATCTGCACAGCAACAAAGACAATGTTTGTAAGCAAAACTTTGTGAATCCCCCCTTTTTTTTCAGTAGTTTTCATTCAAATATAAAAGTGACAGTTCCTGGAATGGCTACTGCAACTTGAACTTGAATCTATTTCACAGTGGCTGGTCTCATCAGGTTTAAACCATGATGACACTTGCCCAATGACATTTTGAATATTTAAGTGCCAAGCACAGGTTGTATATCAACACATTGCCTAACATACACCAAGATTCATTGGAAATTAAATCCCAATGAGCCTGAGATATGAATTGATCTGAATTAATTTAAACCGCTGTTTCATGGGAGGCCTATAATTATATTTATATCCTATTTTTTATGCAAAGAACAGAAGGTTCCTTCTCTCCATGTTATTCTCACAACAACCCTGTGAGATGGGTTAGGCTGAGAGTTGTAGTCAGGCAGGGACTTCACGGCTGAGGGCTCTTGAGTCCCAGTCCAGCATTCTGACTACACTATGCAGGCTTTATTTATTTGATTGGCACATTGTCATTGCGCCAAGAAAATCGTACCCAGGGCAGCTAGCAATTAGGAGCTAAAAATAAACACTTGGTTAAAACACTAATAAAACAAATACCTTAGAAACACTTAAAAAGCCTAACCGTGTACAGTAATAATCAGCAGCTTTCAAACCATGTAGAGATGGAAAACAGAAAGCAACTTAATACGCCGGTATTTTACGCGAGTTTTATATATGTTGAGAGGAGCTGCTCTTTTGATAGGCGCTGCAAGGAACCCAGGATGAGGGAGAGCCGGGCGCAACACGCACCGAATCCAAGAGCCGGCTGCAGAGGCCCTCCTTTGCCTTCCCTCAGAGGGTTGGCACAAGTACAGCAGCCAATGCAACAGGCGAGCTTCGCGGCGCCTTGAAAACTAGCACATTCAGTACCGCATAAGCGCCGCCGCGGCCCACAGTCCGCTCCAGACGTGCGCGGGTTCTTACCCGAAGGTTATCAGGCTCCACCTCGCTTGGGGGCGCTGCGAGCTGTTTGCTCCTCGGCGAAACGAGAGGGGAACCCCGCGGTTGTGCGACCGCCTCGCGGCCAACGGCTCCTCCTCCTCTGCGAGACTTTTGCGCTTGCTTCCCACCCAGAGGGTGCAACTCCTCCTCCGCCGGCTGAGCCGCGGCCGCCCTTTCCTTTCGCCTTCTGTTGCAGGAGCGGCGTTCTCTTCCTTCGTGGCCATGGCCAGCAGCGAGGTGTACTGCGAGACCACCGTCCCCGCCGAGCAGCCGGCGGCCAAGGGGCTCACCCTGGGTGGCTGCACTGCCCAGCACTTGGGCCACCGGCGCTTGTTGCTCAAGGGTTTGCAACTGGTGAGTTGGTGAACTGGCGGGCGAGCGCGCGGGGGAAGCACGAGGGGAAGAGGAGCTGAGGCTGCCGCGGCCTCCTTTTGCCTGGCCTTGCCTTGTTCGCGGCTTCCTCCCGCCTCAGTGGCGGCTCGTTCTCTGCCGCTGGGGAGCGAGGTGGTGCCTGCCGAGCTCGGCAAAAGCCTCCCGTAGCTGCCTGTTACTGCCTGCTGCCTGCTTGTGTATGAGGCCGTTTTCGAGACTCTGTTGCCATCCCGAGAAACGTTCACAGCACTTGAACCACGCTTGCTGGCTTGATCCCAGGGAGCGCTTTCCTTGCACCCGCCTCCCGCAACGTGGTGACCTCCAGATGTGATGGGCGCCCATGATACTGACTGGAGGCTGATGGAAATTGGTAGCACAACTGGAGGGCACCACCACTGTGGAGGAGGCAATGTAGAGGCCATAGTGCACCCTGTTGTGTTCGCAGGGCTCTGCGCAAAGCGATGGTGCTCTATCATGTGAAAGCGCGGCAATGCCCATTGCTTTGGTGTAATTTCTGATATTTATGTAGGAAGCTTCCTTCAGACCATCAGGCTCCTTGTTGTCTGCAGTAGTGACAGGGAACATGGTGGCCTCCTGGTGTTGTGGCATTGCATCTTCTATCATGCTTCGCTTTTGGCTGCGCTGGCTTGGGCTGATGGGAGCTGCAGTTGCATTGTCTGGAGGGTTGCACATTCCCCATCTCTGGGCATCACTAACTGGCATTAGTAGTTGTCCAGAGTTTTGAACACAGGTCTTTTCTATCCCTGCCTGGAGATGCTGCCAGCTATACCTGGAAAAGTCTGCATGCAAAGCCTCTGCCTTTTCACTGAGTTACACCCAGAGGCTAGAAAGTTCAACAAGCTTCATATCAATGGCAGTTGGTTTCCCTTGTGCACTTTTGCCCACAGGTATAAATGGCTGATATGCAACTTAGGAAGTGCAAAAATTGAGTCTGGAACCCATCTCCATGGTCTCAAATTAGTATTTTGAACTAAAGTTCATTTTATACACATGACTGAACACAAATACTCTGGTGAAATGGCAACAAACTCCTCCCTCTTGCATTTTCTATACTATCTATGCAGGTGTGTAAACTGCATACATAAGAAACTGAATTCTCAGACTCCCATACAGTGTATCATAGCACTACTGCACTTTTTCATAGGCTGGGAGTGGGTCTTGTGGCAGTCTCTGATGCATTTACTGCACATTTAGTCATCTGAGGTTTTCATAACTATCACAACTCAGGTTTGCTATTAAACTGAGGGTTTTGACTGAACTTGTTATCAGGAATATTTGCAGTCATGAAATAGGTTTGTTGAGGAGTTGTACCACAGTGGTTTGCTTTGTCATCCAGACTTTGGTGGCTGACCCCATTATGCCTATGGGAAATCCGTGAGCGAGTCACTTGGCAAGAGCAGCAAAAATCCCTTGCCACTCTTGCCAAGCTCACTTGGGCTACTTGACGGCCATTCCACCAAATGTTGGAGCACTGCTTAGAGTGACAGTGACTGGTTTGGTCTCCCACATGCTCCAGGTGACCCCTTTTGGGGGAGTTGCAGATCCGTTTTCTGTTTGACCCCCTTTTCCTCAGAAGTGACATCCAAGGACAGCCCCTCCAAACCGCTTTTTTCACATCCAGGATTCACACACTTCATATTTTTTTAACATGTTGTTGTTAGTAATTCAGAGTCATGTAAATGCATGGCCCAAACTGTCCCAACTCCACAGCCTTACCCCATCAATGTCCTGGATCGTGTCTCTCATCAAAGTATAGCAAGGACCATCCATAGATCATGGCAAAGCAAGACAAAAACGTTTTATTTGTTGCTTTATATCCAGTTTCACAGCTGGCAAATAGTAAACTGTCAAGTTAAAAGGTAAGCTACAATGAGATCTTTGCTGATGAAATCAGGTGCCGTGTAGATTGCCTACTTCCCAGTAGCATAATCTAGTGTATTTGGTTGTATCTTGCTGTTCCCATTGTCCTCCAACCTTTTCACCTTTTCCCAAGACTCCAAGTGTTCAGGATGATGGAAAAGTGAACCACCCAATTTAAGGGAGTGTGGAGTTTTGACAGTTTCAAACTCAAGCTTCTTTTTAAAACAGGAATTTCACAAGGTTAATTGGGGGCTTTTGGCAGTTGCATATGCTGTAAAACAGGGGGAAAAAGAGGTTGCAGCTGCTGTATGGAGCCAAGGCAGGATGAGTTTTGCCATGAAGCCCTCTGGGATACCCACAGAAGAACCAAGGGGAAGGAGAAGGGGGAGATTCAGTGAGCCCTGTCATCTGCAGGTGCACCATGGATTGTTCCACAAACAACCCGTCTTGCGTAGGTTTTTCACAAGGTGGATTTGCCGTGTCATGTGAATTCATCCACTGTTATACACGGAAGTGAGCTGCTGTTGTTGAAAAAAATCATAATGTAAAATTTATCTTTCTATAACATTTTGAAGGATAAGTTAAAATAAATACACACCAGAAACAGAATGTTAACAGATGAACAAAAATCCCCCAAATATAATTATGTCATTGCTGTAAAAATTCATATTTAGCTGTGTATTTTCTTAGTGCTAGACGCAAAGCTGTAGTAATTGCATCTTCACCTGCTAGAAAAGTGGAAGTGAGGTGGAGAGGGGAAGGATAGAAAGAAAATTCTCCTTTGTTTCTTTTTCATCATATAATTATATGGAGCATATTTTGTTTGGTAAATTGTATTTCACACTGTTCCTTGCATCAGACTTTATGTTTCATGACTCTTTGTTTTATGTTGCTGTGACTGTGTCTGGTAAAATAGAAGATACTAGGGACAATGGGCATTAGGAATTCCCTAAGATAGAATTATCTTAAAAGACAGCACTTCCTGGAGCAGCTCCTACACCAAGTACTTAGGAAATGAACTCATGCTGTTGTAGGATGTCACTGACGGGTAAAACACATGAAGTTTTCCTGCTGAGGAGATTGATTATGGAGATAACAGCCAAGTGTTTTTTTTAGGAAAGGAAGTAGAATCTTAGGTGGAAAACAATCATGTTGTGAACATGCACAGCTTTTCATCTGAATGGGTTGAAATGTGGCCAGATGAAAAATGCAAGAAAGGACTTAACCCCCCCCCCCCCCGAAAGAAAAGGAAACATATACTGGATGTGGTATCATCTGGCAAGCCACTGTTGCCCTTGATGGGATGCCAGGAGAGCCTTTTTATCTGCCATAGGCCTCTTGTGGAGAAATAGGAAAGATGACTGCTCTTTGTTTAGGGTGGGAGGAAGGCATAGAGATAGGATTCCCATTATAAAATCTTGTGCTATATTACCCTGCTTAAGGAAGTGTTGAAGGGCGAATAATTAATCATGACCTGTCTCCAAGACAGAAATGGAAAATTTTAGCACTTGCAGGTTCAGAGTATATCTTAATGGAGTAGCTGTCCAACTTGATTGCTGTCTGGACTCAATCGCATATATTATTTTAAAAACATTTATTCAGCATGGTTTTATGGTTTACTGGGAACTGGTTAAATCTGATATTACAGATCCTTGTGGGATTATGACAATGCATTTATATTTATTGCAGTACTTTACTATGGAATCCATGTGTACATCTCAGGACACACACACACACACACACACATATATATATATATATATAGCAGAAAGATGATTAGGAATGGGTGTAGATTTTATTTGGGAGCTTATTTGTGCCTATAACAAGCCATCTGGATGAAGGATGTGAAAAAGTAGTTGAGATGTATTAGTAGATCTCTGAGTGATTTATATTAGATTGACAAATGTTTCTAATTTTTTGTGTTTAACAAATAGCAACAGCTGGAACAAGCATTTTCCTTTTCTAAATTAGGGTGTGGAAATTAAGAAAGTCTAGGGAGTGGAATTTTGTGGGGAGTGTTTGTGATCTTTGTTCTGGTGCTGCAAAGAGATTTCTGGAATGAGTGTATGCTCCAAGGCACTTGATTCCTTAATTCTAAGGGTTTGTTCATTCCTCGAGTTAATGTTTTGAACCTGGCTCTGGTTGGTGGACTTTGGGCTTCCCATTAAAAAAATAAGTACATTTGCCAAGCCTGAAATCTGCTTCTGGAAGATCGCAGCATCTGTGAGCAGGTCATGCTTAACAAGTGGATTTTTTGCTGTTGAAGTAGCCACAGGTAGATAAGAAATAGCTGTGGGTAAGTCCCAAGGTGAATCATTGACATGGCTGAGAAAGTTCCAATGTACTCCCAATGGGAGATGAGTCATTTGCATACATTCCTGTCCAAGCCAGGTACAAGTAACAGAAAATGTAAATTGGTCTTTTCCACCTTAATGTGCATTTATTGAAAATAGAGTAGCATATAAAGCGAAGACAAGGTAGGCAGGGCCAAAACATATTTGTAACTTTATATTACATATTTGTAACTTTAAGGAGACGGCTTTTGTGTGTCTTACTCACAAGTAAGAAATGAATTATTTGGCAGCCCTTTCAAACAGAATCCAAATGAGCAGCATACCTATTCTCAAGCAAGTAGAGCAAGACTTAGCTTACCTACTCAGAATGAAGCAGGAGATGCCTTGAAGCAATAAGGACTGCATCAATCAGTTTTTTCCCCAGAATGAAGCACAAGTTTTCCACCTGTACATGGGAAAGCCCTCTATCTCTAATCAGCAGCTGATCACAGATTTTAAAAAAATCCCCACTGCTCAGTGAGGAGACCTCCTTTTCTCTGATCAGCTGCTGATTGGGGGAAAAAAGTTTACCCCTGCTGGGAGGTGGGGGAAGATGAAGGTGGCAGGTTGGATGTCAAACCGAAGTTCTCCATCCCTGTTATAAAGAATAGAGCATCAAAGAAATAAGACTCTAATAATAGTGAATCAGAACAAAATGGTTGCAGTTAGCCCTTTGCAGTAAAATATAAAACCAAACGTTTCCTGGCATTTTTATAGTCAGTTGTTGTAGAGATTTGCCAAATCACCATTTGATTGTTTTGTTTTATTTGCTTCAGCAAGCAGTGATCCAATTACATGTTAACAAGAGTTGATGCAGCAAGTGCTACATCACTGTGATGTGTCACTTGCTTGGTGGAATGCAACGTTATTTGTTATGGAAGTCCTTTTTGTATGTTTTGCAACAACTATAAGGACATCCATAGCCAATATTGCTTGCATGCCACCAGGAAAAATGTGTGTGATGATGCTTTGTCCTGCCAGTGCTACCTGGGAGAGGTTAGTGTGTAAGATACAAAGGCAACCTGAACTTCATACTAGTCCTTCCCAGCCAATGCTGTGTTTAGAAGGCCTGGGCAGTTTCCCAGAAAGTTTTGCCTTAGCAGAAACTGGTGAGGAACAGAAGAAGCTGTTGCATAGCAAATTAGACAGTCTATCAGTGTTCCTTACACTGGTTCTCCAGGATTGTAGACAAGTTTTGTCCCAGCCCTACATGGACAAGCCAAGGACCAACTGAGCCATGGTGCTCTCTGAAGCACTGCTTGTCTGAGTCTGTGTATATGTGTAGCTGAGTGTTTGGTTGAACTGATCTGGTAGTGAGTACCTCTGCTTTTTGCTGGCAGAATTAAGTTTATATGTAGCAAGTAGTTTTTGGCAGTCTTCACATGCATCAATGGATGGAGTTTTGGTATTGAGAGTTACCCAGATGGTCATAATGCCAACCTAGTTAGAACCAATAAAAAGATACGTATATGAGGCTTCTCATCAGGTAAATTTCTGCTGAAAATGAAGAGACTCTCTCCTGTCATAAAGGTCTTTTGACCATCCTACTACTGTCTCCAATTTTGAGAAATTAGAAGCTTTTATTATATGAAGCTAAAGAATTCTGTAATTCAGTAATTCTGATCCATGAATAATTCCATGAATACCAAAGGATATCTGCTGTAGCTTCCTGCATAGAATCACTAATAAATGCAGGCCTAGAAAAACCATATTTAGCCCTGTGCAGGACTTAGCTCATTTTGAAACTGACTTTGAAGAACTCAGTGCATGTAATTTGCAAGTTGAGCAATTTGTCAAGTAGAATTGACCCATACTGGAATTTACCAGATGATTTATGGATCATTTATTTATATCTGATGACATGTGTATACTTTGATAGAAGTTTCGATTTACTGATCTTTGTTGCATCAGTTTTAAAATGGAGCTTCTAAACAATTTATATATGGTTCTTTTTCTTGTACTGACTGGGACATTGGCCAGTCTAGGCTCCATATTTTGGGCAGTTGGAGGCATACACCCGTGAAAGTCCTTTTTAAATTTGTAAACAAAAGTGCACACATTTGTCCCACCCATTTTTGAGGCAACAGGCCAGTGATAGTTACACCAAAGTGCTGCTTGGACATTGGTGGAACAGTTGACTCTAGTGGAAGCCCAGGCAAGAGCAGCAAGGGGTTTTTTGCTCCTTTTGGCAAGCAGTTCATTCACTGCTTCCTACAACCCATGACAGGCTTGGTCTCCTGGGTTCAGATGACTGTGGGTTCAGTAGTCTCTAGAACAGACCATGGGTTGTCAGGCTTGCTAGTTGCACAAAAAAGAAAGCCACCCAGTGGGGCATGGTCTAGATTTGTACAATACAGTAAGCCATGGCTGGTTACCTATGAGAGGTTGCTATTTCATGTGAACCAAGTCAAGGAGAGAGAGAGAGAAAATGGTACGTCCTACATAACTAAGTAGAGACAACAGTTACGTTCTACTCTCCTGATTCTCACTGATCCTGTTGAGAGGAAGAGAGCAATGGCTGCAGCCTCTCAATGACTTTGGAAGCTGGAAGGAAGAATAAATGTAGTTCAATAAATACTTTTCATACATGCTGCTTGGAAGATCTGGATTGAAATCCCAGTGGAGTATTGAACTTCCTTGGTAGATTTGAGCAAACCCATCTCTCTGCGCCTAAGTCCCATATTGGAGAAACAGGAACTTTTGAAAGAGCATCTCTTACAAGGCTGGTAAAGACAAGGCTTGTTAACATTTCCTGCACTAAAAATCAATGTGTTGCATTTGTAACTTGAGATTGTGAAATTTGCCAACCCCAATAGATTATTTCCTCACCACAGCCTTCTTTTTCTTTCCCAACAGGTGCTGTCTTTCCTCGCCTTTGTGCTCGAAGAAGTTGTGAGTGAGTGCACCATGTGTGGGGGTCTCTACTTTTTTGAATTTGTCAGCTGCTGTGCTTTCCTCTTGAGTATCCTGATCCTTGTTTTATATTGCACTCCTCTCCATGACAAGATTGGGCAGAGCAAAATAGAGCAACTGGTAAAGAGAGCCTGTTTTTGCATTTTTACTACTGTGGTCTTTTAATAACCCCATGCATACTTAGGGTTGCTCAATTGCTGTGTTGTTTTTCCTTAAAAACAGGCAGAGTAGCAGTCTAGGAGTAGCAGTATTCTGGACAGGCCAAATATGTACTGGAAACTTAAAGCTTTTCATGTTAATACACTGAGGGGGAATTTTAGCTGGGGGCCACAGGACCTGTCCAACAAGAAGCAGTGATGGTACCATATTTTAAAGCTGTTTAAAGGTGTTCCTCCTTTCTTTGTGGTTGGATTTCATTGTTCATAACTGTGCAGCATCACTCATAGACTCAAAGAATGATGGCGTGTTATTCTGATTGCCTTTAGCACAGAACAGTAGTACTCTTAGACAGAAGAATTGAGATACATAGCTTCATCTCAGTGGCCCAGCAGGTTTTTCAGGTCAGCCACTCAGCACCAACTGGTTGATGGTGTATGAGAGATGGGAAGTAGTATGAAATATGTGGAGGTTCACAGGCAGTCAAGTTTGACTGTTTGCATTGATTTTAAAAAGTATTTTCATCTGTAGAGGTTATGAGTTAAGCTATGTTCAAAAAGAGGTGTGGATCTTCTTTCAGCCTGAGGAACAAATCTGTTTGAAAAGATCTCGGGAGCTGCATTCTAGCAAAATGCAACAGGATGAAATCAAAATACACACCCTAAACACAAACCAGTACTGGCCTATTCCTGCTTAAAGCCTTAATAGAACCAATATAGACTTTAGAATGACAGAACATGTGTAAAAGCTAAGAGACTACCAACTGGGGGAGACGTGGACGCTCCCCAGTGAGGACCTCAGAGATCTGGTTTCAGCCCATGGGCCTGAGCTTCAACACCCCTGATTTAAAATAACTGTATGCAATTACAGTATATATTATGATCCTATATCCTTGGTGCACATTTTCCTCATCCAAACTGTGGGCAGTTTCTGATACTTAAATGTTTTTCTTTATTACAGGATTTAGGCATCATTTCAGTAGTGGCATTCTTCTTAATAATAGCTTCGATTGTGTTTTCTGCAACCAGTGACAAGACATCACTTGAAAATGCTGCTGTTGTAAGTACATGACCATTGCCTCTTTATTCTTTGTGCTCTTTACTTTGCATGTGGAAGCAGTTTCCATTTTCAGCCCTTATCTTTTGGACCTGTAAAAAACTGTGGGAAAGGTAATGTGATAGGAACACGGTAGGACGCTATTACACTGTAGGGACATTAAGACCTAGTGGGCATTCTCTTGATATGACATAACTTAAAAACCACTAAAGATAGCTGCTTTCCTAGCATATGGCTGCTTTCCCCAAAGGAAAATATAGACCCATCCAGGAAGAAAAAATGTTTGTGGGTCTTGTCCCTCTCTATAATCTTTGCTTTGATATTTACTACCTTCCTGCCTTCAGCTAACATTCGTGTTCTCTGCACCTGTTATTTCTATGGAAGGAGGTTGTATAGTAACAAAAGGAAAATATTGCTGGTGTTGTTACTGTGCTGGGCAGGATGATGGATGAATATAGCCATCCTGATATATACCATCTTCCCAAGTACAATCAGGCTCCTGCAAGCCTAACAAATGGCTGTCAGGGGTGCAGTTTAAAGGAGGGCAAGGCTCACCGGGTGAGTCCCCATTTCAGTTGCATGCCTTCCCTCCTACCCAGTTGACTGGGGCAGCCAGGCTACCGTGCATCACGTGATCTCTGCATTATGCAATCCAGAAAGTGAAGTTTAAAACTCCCCTTCTGCATGGGTGCACCCTCAGGGGCAGAAAGGCTGCGCACCCCTGCCTGAAGCATGTATTCATCCCAGCTGGGTTCTGTTCAATAAACACCACTAGTTTTATTACAGGCTGCACCAAATTCCATTCCATTTCTGGATTGTTTCTCAGTGTTAATATGAAAGCCTGGAAGAATAGGTTCTAACCTAGTCATTATTGGTGTAGCAGATTTCATTTGAACAAAGGTTATGCCATACCCGCTTTCTTAGTCATTGCTATACTTCCTGTTCCATATTTATTATTTTTCAAATCTTAAAGACGAGAGAAGTCATACACATTTGTCTTGTAAAAGCACTGGCTCCTTCTTCCCAATTTTGCATCAGCGTTTAAGACAGCGTACACTCGCTGGCTGTGCACAGACATGGTGCAATTGGACCCCTCCCACCAGAATCTAAGCGTGCCCCCAAGGGTGCATTGGGCAACCCTGTGCGCAAGAGAGGAGGATACTCATGCACTGCAGCCAAAATACGATGCATGAAGTCCTCAATAGCTGCTTTGCCGTGATAACCCAGGAAACAAGCCAAAGGAAATAGCATGCTAAAGAGAGATTTGTGATCAGAATAACCCTAGGGATTTTATTATGCTTCATATGATAGAAATACGACAGCCAAGCAAGTAAACACAGAATGCGTGCGAGGAAATCAATACAGCTGGAGGTTCTACAGCAGCAAAAGAAGGGTACTCAGAGTAGCACATGATACAAGATTTGTTTCTATTTAGTGATGAGCAGCAGGAAAGCAGGATGCATAACTCAATATGCATTACAGAAAGTTGCACACTTCGGGAAGACTGCAGTGTTGACATTTTGGCAGGGAAGTACACCACCCACTTCCTGCAGTTGATACTTAATCAGATGAGGTAGCATATGTCAGTTGAGGCATTGCTTCAGCTCAGGCTGCCTATTCCGCTTCGTTAACCTGCACCACCTGTTGGCTGCAGCCCAACATCTTATTTGCAAGCTGGGAGGGGCACTTCCATTCTCATGCATGCACAGCTCAAAGGGAAAATGTGCCCAGCTGTTCTTGTGTGCTTTGTATTTCACTGGACAGTCATACAAAGGTTCTTCCCTTCACTTAACAGGCCTTTGGCTATTTAGCAAGTATAGCATTTGCTGTGGACGCTGGCCTTGAGTTTTATCAGAAGCAGAAGACAAAGAAAGAGAGACAGGAAAGCACAGCCAACACACACAATGCAACGGAAAATCAGCCACTGAATAACTAGGAACCCTAAGCAGTAAACCACTGTTTCTTATTAATTGATGCTGAGTCGTACTGAATGGATTCTGTCTTTTAAGGTGTGCCTGGATGGTTTTGTTTCAGTTTTGTTCATGCTGTCCTAGTACTTAATCTTTGCATGTCCCTGTACAGGTACACAACTGAACTGTGATCTCCCCCACTCCTTTTGATACACTGGTTTCACGCAAGTGCACTCGTTCAACTTTGTATGCACTACCATAAAGAGAATGCAGAAGGTTGCAAAGGAAGGAAGATTTTAGATGAGATTTTTAAGTAAATAAGCCTTGCTTTTGCCAAAATAAATGCAGGGAATAGATGCACCAGTGAGAAAGTGGCCAGGTGGTGGGGTTCAAATTCAGAATACATTTTGTTTAATAAATGTGAGAGCAACAGTAATGAAGGACGGATGGGACAGTGGCCGAAAGGAAAGGGATTTTGCAAGGCTTCTGTGCAGACTAACCACAAGAGAGCTTTTCTTTACATGTTTTTATACATGAAATAGCAGGAAGTGGAGAAAAGCGCAGTTACACACCCAGAGATGCGGTGTGGCCTGTGCAACATCCTTACACATACGAAAACAGGCTGGTTTGGATATGTCATGAATTCCTTGCCTAGGGGAACTTCATTTTTCCCTCTTCTATCACATCAGCCTTCTCTCTGACTACAAACTTAAATAAACACTGAGGGTTTTCAATGATGGCATTTTTATCAATAAGGATTTTATAATACTAGTTGGACTTGCAACAAAATGTTGCCATGAGGTGGCTGTCTGTTCAAGATTTCAGGCACTCCATCCTCTTCCCCACTGGTTTTAGGCTGCCTCATTTCTCCCTCCGGATGTCTTTCTTAAATAATGTCTTTCTTCTGAAAACCTTAGTATTCCCAAGGCACCGAATACTGACTTCTTGTGCATAAATGTTGCTGCTTTATGTAAGGAGAACTGGAGCACTGAGGTCACTCTTTGTGCATGAGATTCTTCAGCAGGGTGGATTAAAAACAGTGATTAAAAAAAAATCAGATTTTTACAATTTAAATTGTTTTATTAATAAATGCTTTTTGAGGAAATCTATCTAAACATAGTTTTCTATTTAAGATGCATTATATTCCAATGGTTATTCATCATGAAATAAGGATTCATTTTTAATTACATAGCATGAGACTGTATATTCATGCAATGTTTAAATGTTTTGGTAAATGAATTCCATTAATCTGTTCACAAACTCATGCTCTTCCAGTGGTTCCTGTAAGGTTATTGGACAGTTTTTCTGACTAGAAGATATTATCACAGATGCTTAGTTTTACAGCTCCCAGAACTGTTAATTTGTTTCTGCAGAAATCACATGCCTCTTCTTCACGGTAAAAATGTTATAAAATAAACATACAGAGTTGAGAAAAAGACCTTAATCCCATTGTTCCTTTGTAGATCTATGTACACAGAATTAACCCCTTACCTCTTAAGTGCTAAGGTTCAAAAAAATCAATGATTAGAAGATTGTTGGGAGTGGAATAGATCTGCACAAGAAGCTACGTGTAAGGAGGGGGTGAAACCCTTTGAGCAGAATACTCCATAAGTCTTTGGATCTTTTTGTATATAGCCTGAGCTTTCTCATACTATCCTTTCACTGGAGGAGAAAACCTATAATGGTAGCAGGTCATAAAAGAGGCCCAGTTTGGGAATATATTAATGGAGTTCCTAATCCTATGAGTAAGGCAGGCAGGCTTGCAAATTATGCAAAAAAACAACAACCACCACCACCATGATTGAACTCTAGCCTTACTTACTAGTGATCTATTCAATATAAATCAAATCCACCCTGCTCTTTAGGATGATGGTAATGGATGATGTCTACATTTTCTGCATTACCATTTTGTAAAATAGGAAGCTATTTTTGTCTAAGCTGAAAATTATGTACAATAAGCAGAAGCTGCATTTGCCATATTTTAGGACTCCAGAAAGGTTTTAAGAAATAGAAAAACCAGCTTGCAAGGAAACAGGCAAGAGAGAAAAAATCCATTCAAAATGAAGCCACTTTAAAACTAATTACTGTCCAGAAATATAAAAGGAGATGCTAGTAATATAAAAAGAATCAGTAAAGTATAGAACGCAATCTTCATTTCTTCCCTGAAATCTCACTCATAATATGTTTAGAATGATGATTCTCTTACGGTATTTTTCTTGTGCATTTGGATTATGAGTAAATAATGATCTTTGATTGTAGCATTTTGCTCATAGGAATTTGAAGTCAAGTCCAAATGTGTGCTGTTTGTTATAGTAAGTAAACTTGTGGTTGCTTTAGCCCCTTGACCCAGCAGCTGACAGTGCTGTTGATGAGTACAGGGAAGTGAAGTCAAGTATTTATATTCATGCAGTCAAAAAAAACATGTAACTTCAGGTGGACCACTGCAGAGACCCCAGTCTTCTGGGTAGTTGTGGGCACTCTCACAAAATGGCAGCTATGGAGGTTTGTCCATTCATAAAATAGAGGGCATGGCCAAGCACAAAAGCTCACGTTGCAGAAGACAAATGAGTGGGACCTAAACAAAAGTGACTTTCTTAAGAACCAAGCACAAAACGGAGTGCCAATACACAAAACTGCTTGTTTGAATCCAAATAAAGAGGACACAGGAAAACAGAACTTTGCTTTGCTGCATTCTAGTCCTGGTGTTGAAAACAAATACTTCATTTCCAACAGTCTTAAGAAATACAGATAAAACTAGGATGGGGAAAGAGTCTGGGGGGTGCCAAGAGAGGTGTCCCTGGGCACCAGGTTGAAGACCCTGGCCATATAGCAATAGGAATGCATTAAAATGTGATGGGGTATTGTGAGGCGGTTTGATTTTTGCAGGTGTAGCAACCAGCCTGTATGCAACAGGCAGTTAGGCAAAGCAAAACAGCTGTTGTTGGACTTCCATGACATATCCCTTGCGGTGTGAGATGCCCACACAGCTTTCTCCAGATTTACCTGGATGAGTCTACATATTTTGACAACAGCCTAAGGCAGCATTAAAATGGTGGGGAGGGGCATACAGCTTCTGTCCAGGACTATTCTGCGTAGAACACAGTAAAGTAATTGTGGTATATTTATGGAATTTTGGATAGAATAAGGAGGCTGTCTCACAGCTTGCTGTGCCTTTTAGGACTGCAACTCGGGTAATTTAAGTGTAGATTCTACCACTGATTCACTGAAATTATTCTTTGGCAGTTAGTTTCAGGCAACTGGGCCTCCTCCCTGCCAAGAGTTTGACAGGTGCTTTCCCATTTTCTTTCTTGGGCCTGGGTTGCCAGAGTTACCTTGAAAGCAGTGATGCAAGAATGTGGTCCCTCTGGCGTTGTTTCAGGTCTGTTAGCTTACAGAAACTTGATACTCTTCCTGAAGGTTCTGGAAATTAGCTAGGAGAGGGATTGCTTCCACTGAGCAGCCTTCTCCAACCTCGTGCCTTCCAAATGTTTGAGACCTCATCTCTGATCAGCCCCAGCCAAAATGACCAAGAATCCTGGAAGTTGTGGTCCAACTCATACAAAGAGTACCAGGTAGGAGAATGCTGTTGTTGAGCATAGAAAGTGAGAAGCTGAAGGTCGCAGTCCTATGCATGGAGTAAGCTCCTTTGACCACCACCTGAGATCTGAGAAAATTACATAGGACTGTTGAAAAGGTTCAGTCTACTGTCAGAGTAAGTTTCTGTTAAACCAGCCCTTCTGCCTTCTACTTTCCCTAGCTTGATTGTCTTCTCCTGGGAGTTTTGCCTTCTCATGATAGCAAGCATGGCAGCCTCAGTTTTGTCATTTTTGCTTCTAGGGAAAGTTCTGTTTTGATTTGCCCAGGTTTAATTTGGTCAAGTTACACTCACAGAAAAGGTGTATTGGTATTAGCCAAGCCAACAACTTCATTTGTTTTCCATACAGAATAAAGACACCCTCCAAGAAACCCACAAGGAATCCTTTTGTAAAGTGGAAGCAAGGTTTTTGGTTTTTGCTTCCTGTCAAGTTACAAGTGTTTTAACATATTATGTATGGACAGATAGTCTTTTTGGGCAGGGGTGCAGGCAGGCTATTTATTTATAGAGTTCAAATCAGCATAAATTGTATTTTTTTCTATAGAGCATCTATTTTTTTCAAATTATCTTTATTTCACTTCAAATTATGTATGATCTCTTGTGCTTAATTTTGTTGTTGCTTAATCTAGATCAGTAGGAATCCTGATGTGTTTATTAGACCCTGTGGGTCTTCCTTCTAAGTTAATATGTTCAATCTTGCAAGGCCAGGCAATACAGAATTGATTACTGTGAAGGTACATACTGGCTTGCTGCCAGAGTACCACATGCAACTGTTTTGTAGTAAAATCAGGATTGCTAGCTTTTCATTCCTGCTTCAGAGTGTGAAATTTAAACTTCTGTCCTTAAGCATCCTGATAGGTGTGTTCTTGCATACACACCTGCATTAAAGTGTGTTGTAGTGAAAACTGATGGCTTGTTTATGGCTCCTTCCATGACCCTTAAATACCCACATTTAGTTGGAGGCCAAAGCTTTTCAACATTTTGGGTTGGATCCTGTCTTAATTCTATTTGAAGTAAACCATTGAAACCAATGGGACTTAAGTTAGACTAGAAGCAAGGCCAGACTTACATAAGGTAAGGTCAGAATCCAAAGAATTACTTCTGACACAGCTAAGGGCTTGGGCATGTTCAGCAGTAGGTCTGTTTCCTCTGAGCAGGAGACCCCTTGTAATTAGCAATGACTGAATTTCAACCATGGTTTGCCATGTGGCATCAAGAGCTGATGTTTGGAAGAAATGGGTCTGAAGCCCCCTGACCATGCAGAAAAAATGGGGCCATTGTTTTGATCCCAGCCACGGTAATTGACTTGTGAATTCTTTCCATGGTGTAGGGAGCTTTTGGAGAACGGACAAATGTGAAAATGAAAAGACACTGTGATTTAAAAATCGTGGGATTTCTAAAATAGGGCAGGCATAAAAATGCATAGAATAAAAATTATACATGTACAATGTGTTACTGTAGATTTGAAATGGAATGTTTCATATGACATTGTTTTTCCTGGATGGAATTGTATGATGAAAAATGCCTTCTTCTGTTTGTTTTATACTTTTTGGCTTATTTACAGTTGATGACCTTGTTGTACATTGTGGCTTTATCTATTGAGTATCAGTGTCTGTCTTTTGGATTCATGTAAATTATTCATGTAAAGTTTTTATTAAAAGTTGTAGAAAGCATGTGGTTTTGCAGTTATTTCTCAGGTTTGCTGTCACTAAGTGGGTAGCAAACAATCGCACCTGAAGAGATGGAATGGAAGAAACAGTCTTGCCCTTTGCTCCATTCTGAATGAGTGCAGTACTTATGGGGTCTATGTTAGAGGAGAACAGGCGATACTTTCCACTTCCAAAATGTGAGTATTAGCCTGACCTTTCATTCCAATGATGTTTTTTATGGAAATGTCTCAAGAATCCCCAGATGGACTTAAATATTTTTGACACAGTATTTTGACTCCTACATACAACAGTTCTTTTTCTATGTGTTAGACTTTTGCTTTGGAGCCTCAAAAGAATAATAGCAGGACTATTCTTTGTGGTTTGTGGCTCTATGCATGTGCAAACACTCTTGCACTATATGGGGCTTTAAATGGGACCCTGCTCACCTTCTACATTTGTGCTCTGGGTGTGATTCCTGCCTACCTCTCAGTTTCTTTTTGGCCACTGGCAGCATTTGGTACATCAGAATGGCAGAATTCTTAAAATTCTACTGACCCCTGCTGGAACACTGAACCAAAGTTCCTCTTTCTTCTGACTCTTCGCTTCCTTCCTTATTTTCTCTGAGTTCTGTTCTTGTTTTATTTCCCCCTTTGGGGCACACAGCCTCCAAAGCTTTCTTCAAAAATTGTACCTGTTGTAGTGGGAAGGTACTGTTGTCCGATGGACACAGCAACTGCCTTAGCCTCACAGAAGCTTCACAAAACAGGCCTGGAGAAGCGGAACATCATGCCTCCATGGCCTGTTGTGGAAATAAGCCCTCATGGCAGCACAGACACCCATGCTGGGAAGGACTTCACTTCTGTTTCCAAGGCACCTTCTCCAGAGCTCTCTCAATTCCATCCAGCATGCAGCATAACTGTTGGGAGTACCAGTTCTTGCAATAGCGACAGCTTTTGGCCATTTTCCCAGACCAGCAGCTTGAAATTGGCCCTTCACTACCAGCAATCAAGACTGTTTCAGGACATATGTTCAAACACCCCGCAAAGCCCCAGGCAGAAAGCAGAAGATGGCTCTTAGAACTGAGTCTGGCATCAAGCCCAAGCCTACACTGGCTCCAGTTCAGCTGCTGTTAGTGGAGACAGCACCACAAACTATCATGCAATCGCTGATGCTGATCCTAGAGAAACTGGCTCCTATTGGATTGTAACTCTGTGGAAAATATACTAACCTCCTCCAACCTTGTACCTTCCAGACACATTTGGACTGCAACACCCAGAATTCCCAGTTAATGGCCCTGCTGGATGGGAATTCTGGGAGCTGCAGTGCAAATGCCTCTGAAAGCCACCTGATTGGGGAAAGCAGCAATATACGATGCCTGGGTTTGTATCAGAAGGTGTATTCAGGGACTGCTTCTCTTTTCAACTGCACATTGTTACACTGTGATTGTACTCCAAGTACAGATCCCTTCTGCAGTAACAGACCTCACTGGCTTCCTCCGCCTCACAGAGAGGTATCCTTCATCATCACTATAATAAGCCCTGAGAGAGCCATCAGGCATTCTTGCTTCTATCATTCTTGCTCTCATTATGAGGACCATTCATTATAGTTCTGATGATCATGTCCAAGACAAAGCTGGATGGTATTTAAGATGAATAAAAGGAAAAACGGGGGTTGACATTAAACTTTCCTCACTAAAACTTCCATGTTATAAATTATTATGTTTGCTCTTCATGATATGCCGCTGCTGTGCCTCTCCCATTTCTCAGGAACATCTTGTAATGGTCAGCTGCTCCAGAGTCCCTACCTCCCAGTGACTGGCAGGGTGCAGCTTTCCCCCACACCCACCAAGCCCCCAAAATCCCAGGGCTCAGACACTGGATTAAGCACAAGCTTGGGGAAAAACATCTATCAGACAATATAGGATGGAGGGTCTTAAAACAATACAACACACAAACCACACAAGGGTAAGGGAAGGAACAGGGAACTGGAGAGTAGCAATTGCACTGGACTCACATCAATCAGCTCACCTCAAGACCCCCAGGCCGGTTGGCCTCCTCGGACTTAAAACAACAAAGCTAGACGATCCTACTGCTAGCATAGCGTCCAGCATCCAACATAGCCTTTCTTCCAGCAGAATAGAGCAGCCTTTCCAGGCAGAGCCTCCAGCAGCGCTGGGAACTGCTCTGAAAAGAGGAACCCGGAACCTCTGGGGTTCTCTGTTCTTATCCAGTTAGATCAAACATATGACTTGGGGTGACATCTCCTGACCCTTCAGGCCTCCTATCTCTGACTCTGGGGGGAGGGGTGCTTGAATGGCCCTGTCCTTGGAAGTAATTTAGGGCATTTTGCATTCCCATCGCTATCAAGACTCCCCTGGTCTTGGCATCTACTTTTCCTTGAGGTGCCACCTGGCTAAGACGGCCCAACTTTGCTGCCTAGGGTTAACTCTTCTACTCCCAGGAGACCCTGAACTGGACCTCTTATACTTCTTATTGCTCATGTGGTGTTACTGTTCTTGTTGCTCTGTGGATTTTTTATACTTCCCCCACAAACATGTGTATGTCGCAAACCTGTTGCTGATTCTGTGTAGTATCTTCTATTTACATTTTTACTCTACAGCTATTCTAAGGGGCAAATATGGTTTTCTTTCCCCCTTTTATCTTCACACAAACCTTGTGAGGCAGATCAGACTGAGCAACGGTGACTGGCCCAGTGAGTATCATGACTGTACTAGGATTTGAACCTGACTCTCCCTGGCTCTGATCTGACACATACAACACTGGCTCTCAGTAGTGATTCTGTTATTTATTCTGCCACTATTTTACACTCTCATGTTCGCTTTGTTGTAAATCATTGTGTGCACTTATATTGGTATCTCTGTCAGTTGTCACTATGTCTTCTCTTAGTTATTATTATTTATTATTATTATTAGAACATTTTGTCACTATCTCTTTTATTGTTCTTCACTATTGTTCCACTTGCTTTTAAAAATCTTTCCAGATGTTAGGTGTTCATCGTAGTGCATGCAGAAAATGTAATTTTATGGGCATCTTAACTGGTTACCCAATCCATCCATTGAACAAATGACGGGAACGTGGGTGACCCTTTTTGACACAGTTGGGATTGTTTGCTCTTGACTGCTCTCCCAGGCCTTCAGCAAACATTTTTCCATCACCTTTTAAAACTGGAGATGCCGGGAATTTACCAAGACTTTCTGTGCACAAACTGAGTTACAGTCCCTCTTCTCCCATGATAGCTTGAGAGAAGGTGAAAAACAAAACTAGAAACAGCATTAACTAAACAACATGGAAGGACTTTCACTGTGATCAGCTGATCAGTTTTGTCTGTTCTGCTGTACTGCTAAAACAGCACTCACCCCAAACACAGTTTGCCATCACAGTGGCCTACAGTAATGAGAACTAGAATTAATGGAAGTAATTAAGTAACTTGTTTCTAGCACTGTTTGTACTGTCGCTGTAAAGGTAATTACAGTACATCTGCACTTAAATGCTTTAAATGAATTTTCCACAGCTGCCAAATGCCAGTGTGCTCCTAGTCATGATATATGAGCTTTTTGGCTTGCCTCCTCGAACCAAAGGGGTTATGGGAGCTTTTTGAGATCTCAGGAAATGGGATCAAATTCTACACATGCATGGACTATTTCCAAGAGGCTGTGTCCAAAATAAAGGCCCAAACTGGGTGGATATTGGACATTGTTGTGAATGAAAGCACAGGGTAGGCTGACTGTTTTCTTGCCTAGAAAGCCACAGGGCTCATTACATTTCACTTCTTTTAATCACAAAAATAGGTACAGCTGACATGAGCCAGAGTGATTCCGGTAAGGTTTGTATTGCACAAAACACCCCAACATCACACAGACTTAGGTTAAAGTGCCCAATTATTTGTGTTCAGTAAAAGTATGGAATGGAATCATTAAAATTATAGTGCCCCAGTTTGCCTAGGTGGAGAGACAGTGTGGTATAGTGGTTAGAATGTGGGACTGGGACTGGGACTGGAGAGATCCAGGTTCTAGTCCCTACTTTGCCATGAAGCTCAGTGGGTGACTTTGGGCCAGATGTTGACCTCAGCCTAACCTACTCCTCAGGTTTCTTGTGAGGATCAAATGGAGAGCATGGGGAAGATTGTGTAAGATGCCTTGGGTACTTTGCAGAACAAAGTGGATTATAAATAAATAAAATTTTGAAATGCAGATATAGAAGCCTACTAATAATTAGAGCTAATACCAACTGCTGGCATCACTGTGAGCCAAAAGCCAATTTGCTCAGTGTGTTTTGGTGGATTCCCAAAGTTATAGAACATTGGGAAGATGTGAGAGATAGTATTCACTCTTATTTTTGTTCCATTAAATGCTACCTTATATCCTGGAATGTCTGTTCCTTTGACTGTCGGTTTCACTCGCTAAGCAACTGGTTGTTTGGATTCGTAGTACTGATTTGGTAGTCAAAAGGCTCATCATGCAGTATGGTCAGCACCATGAATGCCAGAGTAAACAGCAATGCCCTGCCTTTGTGCCAAACTGTGTGTCACTTGATGGAACAGCCTGACATGGTCACACATACAAGGCAAAATCTTCCCTTGTGAACAATGATTCCTTGGTGTTTTACCTGTGTTCCACTTCTGGTGCACTTTCCCTTTAATTCTCTCCTGTATCCTATAATTTTTACCTTCATTTTTGTTGTATCTGCCTGCATGTTCTGGTAGCTCACTGCCCATTTAAGCATCTTGTTTTTGCCCACTGCTAGTGCAGTCTAAGTCGGCCAAGAGTATCATTATTTGCTGTCATGCATGATAAACTGCTATATATGCATTAATAATGATAGTTTCCCCCAAGCCTGTAGCATTAACAGCTGGAGCTCCTGGGCCCATAGCCTGCCCTCTGATCATGCAAACAGCGTGTCACATGAACCATCTCTGGTTGCTTAGAGCCTTGCTTGAAAGGGTGTTTGTATCTTCATGTACCATTTAGTTTGCTCACTAACAGTGCCAAGCATGGCGCATGTTGCCAGGTTTAAAGCTTAAATGGCTTAACTAAGCATTAATTTCTTTCCCACCACCCACCTGCCTTGTTTTATCCTGAAGCAGCAACAGGAGCTGTTAGGCTATGAAGAGGAAGCGCTGAGGAAAACTCTTTGATTATCTGGGAAAAGGAACTATCTCCCTTGTAAATATTCTTAAAATATCTCTGCTTCATCTCTACATCCTCCAGATGTACCAAGCAGCTAAAAATAATAAGGCTACAGTATTAGACACTCAATCATTTGGAAAAGTAAGTGTGCAGTCCTACTGCATCCTAAATCTCTGTGAACTCAATGAAGCTTACTTCTGAGTAGACATATATAGGACTGTACTTTTTAGATTTTAATAGGTTGGGTTCAAAATGTAACAGACTGGTCTGTAGTCTGACCTATGGTTGTGTCACTGATCATCTTTGCAACAGTATTGGGAATGCTGTCCAAAGTTATATACCAGTCAAATTCAAAAAACCTCTTAAGAAATTTATAGGTGCATACTAAGTCATGTCCACTGTATACTAAGTATGCATTTATAGGTGCATACTAAGTCATGCCCCCTTTGCTTTAGCGCCTTTGCTGAATATTTTGTAGGGGTCTGTGTGCTTGCAATATAATAACAATCTTACAGTTGTTGTTGGGTTTTTTTCCCCTGTGGGGGGCATGATAGAGGAAAAATATTTGCCTGGAAGGGAGAAGTTCTAAATTTTGAAACTCTACAGTGTGTCCCCCAACAATTAGTCCTGGCTATCTCCATGTATATTTTGTGATTGGATTACATTTATACCCCACTGTTCTTCCACTTAAAAGGAATCCAAAGTGGCTCACAAGGTCTTCTTCCTCTCCATTTTATCCTCAAAACAACCCACTAAGTTAGACCAGCTGCAAGTCACTCAGTGAGCTTCATGGCCAAGAGGATACCAGACCCTGGATCTCTCCCAGCCCCCTAGTCCAACACTACCCTACTTTGCCACATTGGATTTTGATTTTGTGTTGTGTTTCTTCAAATGTACAAACACCTCCACATATTTTTGAAGATTAAAAAAACATTTCCCTGGAGCACTCTGGAATATTTTTTTTAAGTTTTATGCCAAGAGTAAGAAAGAAATTAACTTAGTTCTGCTCATGACCAAATAGTATAGCTTATGATAAAATGAGACCATGCCAGTGCAAAGAACAAGTAGTTTCCCCTAGAAAAATTGGTTTTCTCCTCAAACATCTGTAGTCTTTCATCTATAAAGGTAGTCTTCTCTGGATCCATCCTAAGTTTAGTCCACATATGTCCTAGATCATAGACTATATATCAACTCCAGTTTATTCCCATCAATCCCCCATCAGTACAGCCAGTGATAGTCCCAACATCTGGAGGGCCACAGATTTCTGTGCTGAACCATAGTGATGCAGGCGATAGGTTATTTGAGCATTACTCCTAGCTGCTTGGGGTTGGAGGTAACTGTGAAAGGCGACCATTTGTACACTTAGTTCTGGTTCAAATGCAATTACCAGTTGACTAGTAGGGACTCTGACTCTTCTATTTTGTGTATCACCTGCTTACCGGCATTCTGTAAATATTTAACAGCAGTTCTCCATTCCCCGGTGCCAGTCAAGTTAGCAGGGCTAAAATTGGCTGCTCGGTTTGAAATGTATCAAAGTCTGTGTTACCTTTATTGGTCATAGTGAAAAAATAAATGGCAGAAGATAAATGTTCATAGTGTGAGGATAAAATGGAGATGATGATGACCAGGTAAGCTGCCTCGGGCTCTCTGCAGGAGGAAAAAGCATAGGACGGAAATGAAACCAGTAAAAGCAAGAAACAGAAGCTTTTGAATTGGATAAGAAATCTGCATTAAGCAGATGTTAGAGCATTTAATAAGCAAGGGAGGAGGACTGCTGCTGAAGTAATGCTGTAGGTCAACTCGCACCAACAGAGACCATTTAAATAGGGTATGATTTTGTGGCTTCTGGATGTTCAGGTGGTGGGTCAAGAGTACTATTTGTAGCCAGCATCCCAGCTATACTCTGGTGGCCAAAAAGGATCAGTCCACACTTAGTACCATCCAGGCTAAGGTACTTTATGTGGGGCTGCCTTAAAAAAAAAATGCTTAGAACTACAACTGGACCAGTACACAGCCTTCAGGTTATCATCAACTCCACTGTAGGTCCAATTCAAGCTGCTGGGTTTAATGATTAAATACCACTTTACATACTTTGCAAGGAGTCCCTGCATTATGACCATCTGAGTTACAAACAACTCATACTTATGAACCAACTGCCATAAAGCCTTTAATTAAACAAAATACTGTGGGGAATCATCACTACCATAGAGAAAAAGAGGAAGTGATGGGGAAGGGACAGAGAGGGCTCCAAAGCAGCCCTTCCTGCCTCACCTATCCGGAGAGGAAAATCTCTCCAGCATGTCCTTGCTGCAAAGAGGCGGCACAGGTGAGCTGGGGGTGGTGATTAATATTTATAGTTTTTCCACTTTAATGGGGGTCCTTTGCCCCTAAGCTCCATGAATGTGGAGCGCTGACTATGTACAAATTTGACTTAAAGATGCATTTCCATTTTTCCAGGAACGGAGCTTGTTCACAATGTGGGGACTGCCTGTATATCATTTATTCAGCTGCGGTGCACATTAATTGCTGCATAGAGCACATTTTCTTTTATGTCAGTGCCCTCTCCACATGTTGCAGTGTCGCTCATCCAATTGTGCGCTCTCCCATTCATGCAGCCAAATGTCACACAGTGCAGTTGAATTTCTAGGACCAAACTGCTGTGTTTTGAAGACCAGGAAATTGAGATTTATGAAAGAGAATTTGCTTTTTTTAGAACAACTACCACCCACAACAATTAGCTGTTCCTTTGTAAATGTTTAAAAAAAATCAAGCTGCTTTGAGTGCCAGTTTTTGGCTGAACAGCAGGGTATAAATTGAATAAATAATAATTAGATTTTCCTAGGGCCATTCCAGCTAATGGAGCTACTTACTGCGGAGGCTCAAGTATCTGTATTGATAATCCTCAGCAACATCATGTCAAATGCTTGAGAACAGGGTGTCCAAGAGGCATGGGCATGCATCAAGAAAAGAGAAATTATGTTTTTCAAATATAACAAAGTAAATTAAAACACTTTTATTTTTTATCTTGAATAAAATACTTAAAATGAAACAAAACCAGAATACAAAAGTAACATTGGTTCATTTCCAAGGAAATGTTCACAGTAAGCCAGTCGAAATGCAATTTATAAAATGCCATTCCTGACAAGTGACAAGAACAGTTGCAAACACAAAAAGCAGACATAAGAAAGAGACATATCAGATACAGCATAGTATGTAACAGTTGCTGGTTTGAGGTACATTTTTTTCAGCATTTGGCAGCAATAGATGAAAGCAGAGTCCATTTTCTACTTTGAATGTCTGATAAAAACAAGAATTCAGATCCTACTCCCTGGTGGGTTGAATGCTATCACTGTAAGGAGAGTGGAGCTAACAAATGGAACCGCACCCAGGAAATGCAGCCTTTGGCCTCGGCACTTTGGTTCCTTTGCGTGGGTTTCTTTTCTCTTTAAAGAAAGAACTACAGCATAGTTCAACTTGGGCCCAAGAATCTCTGCAGGTGGAACACAGTTGACGGGAACCAAGGTGATACAGTGTAGAGATTGCTGGGATACTTCCAATTTAGTGAAGGACCATGAGATGAAATTCAGAAGGGTCAGCCTTTAAGACGTTTCCCCACAAAGGTCACCGGGAGAGAGTTCCATCTTGCAGACATTTGCTTTGTCTTCCCTCTGGCAAGTAGATTTCTCCAATGTGGCGTACACATCTTGAAACAGCAAAACTCACACAACAGCATCTTAATAAACAAATGCGATAGAGAAAGAAAACAATAGAATCAACTTGCTGCAAACATATGTCTGATTGAGAAGAAAGCATTGTTACTCTGCTCAGCATAACACTTGGTGGAAATCTAGATTGCTTCCATCACAAACTTGCAGGATGACTAGCCCAGCCAAGTATTAATTCTGTCATACACAGATGAATGAACCTCATGCACATGGATGGGATGGAAATGGGAAATACTGGATCTAAGGTATTTATTTTTAATGTATATACAAAAAGATGGCTTTAGTGGAAATGCAGTACATAATTTGAGGGGAAAATTTTGGGCATGAGTGAAATAAGAAAATCCCAAGAAGTGTGTTCAAAGGATATTATTTTTAGCTGCTAGTGGCTAGGCTCACCCACTAAATTACAGTGTTAACTAAAACTGAATATTTAAGGTGCAGTCTTGGAGGCTCCTGATTACCCAGGGCCTCACCATGCTGTTGCCGGTACAGTGAGATGAGTGACAAAGGGGATTTTCGCCTCTGCCTGCCTTTTCTTCTTCTTCTAGACTGGAGATCTAACAGGTTGGGGTGAGGTGGGGGTGAGGAGAACATAGGATCCTTCATCATCTGGTCTCTTCTTCCCTCCAACATCTCTTCAGCATCCTCATAATGCAGGCACCATATTTTTCCTCGGTAAGTGCGTGGGAGAGTGGGAAGGACTGAATTCCACATTCCCCCTTCTGCGGCTGGAGAAGTGTATGGCCTTGGAGGAGAACTAGTTTCCAGGAATGACAGGACTGTTTTTTAAAAATTTGTATCCTCCTGTTCTTGAAGCAGCTAATGAGCAAATCCATCCTGATTTTTAAGTTCACTTTTTCCTGTGCATTCCGTAAACAGGAATTCTTGAAATCAGTGGTTTATAGAAGGAGAAATGCTCATGCCTGGGATGGAATGGAAGAGGTCAAGTGATACTGATGGGCCAAACATGTTTTCTATAACAGGGAAATCAGTGAGGAAGCTGCAGGGGGAACAGTCCACATTAGCAGTTTGTGTGAACTTGCATGGCTTGAAAGGGCAACAAAAATGATCCAGGTTTGGAAACATGGCCCTGTGAGGAGAGACACAGAGAACCGGGTGTGTTCAGCCTTGAGAAGAGAAGACTATGGGGGAACGTGATATCACTTTATAAGTTCCTGAAAGGCTGTCACAAAGAGGAAGCTCAAGATTTCTTCTTGCTCATCCCAGAGCATAGGACATGGAACAATGAATTCAAGCTGTGACAACCCAGATTCAGGCTAGATAGCAAGAAGTCAAAACAATAAAACAGTGGAACCAGTTGCCTGGAGAGGTTGTGGGCTCTCGCACACTAGAGACATCCCAAAAGAAACAGGACACTCATCTGAGTGGGATGGTGTAAACTGGTGTCCTGCATCAGCAGGGGGTTGGACCTGATGACCTTCTTCCAACTCTACTAGGCTATGATTCTATGAAAGCTTTGCCAAACAAATCCTTTAATCTTATAGTCACCTCAGGCATGGATTGCCTAATTTCATAGATGGAAATTATCAACCCAAAGTGGGGCTGCTGCAAAAACGGTGAACTTTGTGTTAGGCATGGATAAGAAAGGAATTGAAGATATAACAGACAGTATCATACTCCCCTTACACAAGTATGACCACACTTAGCATACTGTGTACAGTTCTGGTCAATACACATTAAAAAAGGATACTGTAGTGTTGGAAAAAGTGCAGAAGAGGACAACTGAAATGACCCAAGGACTGGAGCAACTATGCTATCATTAAATGTTCCAACAGGTAGGATTTTTTTAGCTTAGGAAAAGGTGGAGTAAGGGGAGACACAAGAGAGGCATACAGAGTTAGGTAAGGTACAGAGAAAGTAGATAGGGAGCATTTGTCTTCCTTTCTTATATTGCTAGAACTTGGGGTTATCCAAGGAAACTAACTGGTGAGAGATTCAGGACAAATGCAAGGAAACACTTGGCGCGGTACCATGTTAAACTATGGAATTTGCCTCCACAGGATGCAGTGATGCTCAGCAACTGGTATGGGTTTAAAAGCAGTTTAGACAAATTAAGGGAGAAGAAGACTACCATTATCCACTAATCCTGGGCTCTATGTTACCTTAGTATCAGGAACTGTTTGCCTATGTACATCAGTTGTTGGAAACCTTAGGCAGGAGTGTATTGTGGGTTTTCTGTGGGCAACTGGTTGGCTGCTGCACAAACAGAATATTGGACTAGATGGATCCTTAGTCAGATACAGCACAGATCCTATTACATTCTAATGTAATTCTAGATTGCAGTACAGCACTGAAGTGCATCTCAAGGTTCAAGAGAAGTAGGGCAGGAATAGGCAGTCATAAAATTTGTGGGAGTTACTTAATATTTAGCTGGAGTACCAGGAATTCAAGTTCACTGTCTTTTCATACGAAGATTCACTCCTGGTTACCCCAGGTTTTCTTCATTTCAGCAGGATAATTTAGGGGGGCTATAATGTTATTTCTGGTAGTGCAATCAGTTTGGAATCCTTGCTGATTCAGAGTTTACCGAGAAATCTACCAATAGATCCATCTCTACCTTCTGCCTGTCTACCACTGCTGTCGGGCAAACAAGGCTATGCTTCTCACGGCTCAGACCTCTGCAGTTTTGATGGCAAGGCCAGACTAGAAGATCAGAAGGAGGGCAATCTGACAAAGAACCCTATCCATAACCTGTCCTTCTCTTCCAAGAATCCTCCCTTTGCTATCCTCTTCTCATCTCCATCAGCTCTTGTATACTTTGGCTTAACTTAGGTAAAATATTTCCACTTTCATTGAAACTGATGAAAAGTCAAACTGCTTTTGTTTGCCTGTCATTTTCCATCAACCTGACGATAACAGAGAATGCACTATGAGGTCTGAACAAATAGTGTCATGGGGTTACCATTACCACTTGCTCCTCCCATGTTCAGAGAATGCAAGTACAAATGTGTGGTGTAGAGCTGGTTGATGCAATGATGCTGATCGGATGCTTACCTGTTGACTGTGTGACAAAAGAGACTTTGTAGGATAGCCATATACTTAAGATGCACAGAAATGTAGCCAAGAAGCCAAACACCTGTTGAAAGAAAAACAGCAGCAAAAGCTCTACATCAATTAAGCGATCCAACAGACAGGATCCTATATATTCTACATCCATATTTAGAATCCGTGCACCACCAAGGTTTCTATTAACCTGGCATACATCAAGTTGCCATAAAACTTGTTCAGTACAATTTAACTTCCTAATTTTTATGTACTGATTCACATGCACTTCATAGATTGAATTAAATTATTTCTGACCAGTAGCTAATTATTATGGAGTGTATTCAGCGGTAGTTGTGATCTGGATGCTCTGAATTCTTTGAGATACCTTTGAATTCCTCAATGACACCGTGCTGCAGCCATCTAGCATGATGTTCAACAGCAGACATGAGTTTTGGAGGACCTTGATTTTTGGAGGACCTCTTGGGATCATGGGAAAAAAATTGGCTAGGTAACAACCATCTATGCAATCTACTGGGAATGTCTGATGCAGATCCCATTTACATTAATATGATTTAAAAACCCCTTTCCTGTCCTTCCAACATGAGGTTGGAATGATTTGTCTAATTAGTTAATCAGTTGTGGAAGGAGCCAGAGGAAATGCCTAGTTCTGTGAGAGTAAAGGAATGGACTTGATAGAAAACAAAGCACTCAATGAATAGAAAGACCAAGGGTCATTGAGACTGGCTTGTGAAGTAGCTGAGCTTTGGGCTCATTAAGAAGCCAAACTTAATGCCTGCTAAAATATATTAGCAGAGAAAACTAAGCAGAAGTACAGTCAAGAAATTCACTGTACAAATAACCTAAACAAACATATTCCAACCAAATATACATACAGACCACACAGGTTTCATGCACATATGATCAGAACAGGTTCTTTGTATTCCCCAAAGACCTGCTTGCACTGGTGACTGAAAACCACAAAAACACTGGCAAGCCAAAATGCAGAAGTATGCAAAACTCACCGCTCCAGCTGTAAGGACTGGTGAGTTGGAGTTTTTTGTTACTACCACAATAGATGCAATGAGGAGCAGGATGGAACCTATTAGGTAATGCAGAAACTCCTGAAAGTAAACAAGCACAACCCGGTTTAGAAGAGAACTTTATCCAAGCCACATTTCAGTGTGACTCACCTAAAGCAGCCCCAGTGCCAGCCAACAAATTCTCATGTTTTTAGCAAAATGTGAAAAAGTGAACCTAATGCTACACATCTTCTCTCACCTAGGTAATATTTCCTAGATGAAAGGCAGCATTAAATGCTTTCCGTAACCCCATGGAAAGTGACAATGCTGTAACTTGCTCCTGTATTCCCTACAAAAAGTCCTTTTTGGGATTTTGTACAGACAGAGACTTTGCTTTGGATTCCTCACTCTCTATGTGTGGGCAAGGCCAAGAAACCCAATGGGCAAAAGGGCTACTGTGAGACAGGTGTATGGTATGCATTCCATATAGCTGGCGTTCCTGAATGTATGAAGCTGTTTTATATGCTTCAACAATTACAGGTTCAGTTGTACTTGTTTCATTCTTCTTCCACTTCTCATTTTGAAAGTAATTAAATACAGTTTCCTAAGCTATCAGGAATCTGATTGACTTCTACTGAAATTAATGGGAAATTACTGAATAACCCAGCAGCTAACAATGATTCATTCTACCATCAACAGCTTCTTAAAATAGGCTAGGGAAAACCTTGGCACTCTGTCTATGTTGTAAAATCCATTGTATACCACTTCATACTTCAGATTTGTTCTTTTCTTGTAATTTCCCCCATTATTTCCCACGTGCAGAGGGAAAAGCCCCCCGACAACATTATTGTCCTTATTACACTGCATTTATAGCCTGCTTTCTGTCCACTTGCAAGGAACCCAAGGTGGCTTACAGGGAGTACCTCTTCTCCATTTTATTCCTGGAACAACTAACCTGTGAGGTGGGCTAGTCTGATAGGCAGCAAATGGCCCAGTCACCCAATGGATTTCATGGCTGAGTGAGGACTAGAATCCAGATCTTCTAAATCCCAGTTCAGTTCCCTTAACCACTACCCCGCACTGGCTCAAAAAACTGCAGGAGTGCATTGGACAGGATGACAAAGAAATAAGTAATGGCAAGAGAGCTCAACTATGTTCAGAAATTACAAATGGCACAGCCTTAAAGAATGGTATGTTTGTATGTTATTATGGAAAGCTACCCTGCCATGGTTGCCAGATGGAGCCAAGGCTACCCTCCCCCCCAACATGCAAATTTGCTACATGCAAAGCTGTGTTTAACATTAACAAGCGTTTTACTGTCAACTTTCACTTCCTTTATGAAGTGATACAATGGTCCCAGGAGAGATATTCTATTCCTGAAAGTAAGCTCTGTTCTGGGTAGTCTGGGAATTTATACATCATTCATCACTGAAAAACTACAACAGGAAAATCACAAGGAGTATGTTTTCATGATCCCATACCCCATTGTGCATAAGTAGCCATGGTAGGTTGTTGTGCTGTATAAACCCACATTGCTACCTACAAGTCAGCTTTTTAGGAAATGAGCCACCATGACAACCCATGGCTTGTTCTAGGGGTTGGTTATTGTGTAGTCTGAACCAAGGAGACTGATTCCATCTTGGGTTGCAGGGAGCAGATAGTGAACTGCTCAACAAGAGTGGCAAAAGCCCTTGCCGCTCTTTGCAATCACCCCTGTGATGCACCAAAGCTCAAGCAGCACTTTGGAGTGATCGTCACGAACTTCTGTGCCCCAGAAATATGCACCTTATCATTAAAAAAAAAAAAATACCCAGTCTTTCAGGGCTGCACAAGTGCACAGTTAGGACTGCAGGATATATGTAGTCTTGCCCAGTCAATATTCTTGTAATTTTCTGCTGTCAAAGGGAAGAAAGTGCACCTCATAAGGTAGATGCAAATTGGCAAGATGCAACTAGATATTGGCTGCTTTGAACACAAAGCTGCCAACTGAATGTCCCTGGTAATGCAGGGGAAAGGGGGTGCGTTGAAAGGGGATGGCAGCAAGATCTCTCCCTCAGCGATTAATCCTCTGGATTTCCAGGGCTGAACTGACAGTTCTCTACATTTTCAACACTTCCCCAGATCTCCAGCTCGTTCAGACAGGGGAGATATTAACTCACCCCACTCTTCAGGGCCTGGCAATGTGCACATCAGCCTGAGTGTGGTCTCGCCCGCTTCCGTCAGTGTTAACAAAGTGCACTTCACTTCCTTTGGCTGCTGAAACGTACATGGCATTGACCAGGCAGGACTGCATCAGGCAATCATAAGGGCAGAGTGTGATGGCAACGACAACAACAAATACAAAGACATTTGTGGAACTGAAAAAATGCAATCCTGATTGTGCATTTTGAGGCTCAGAGCATAAAACAACATGGCTGCAAAGGAACATTGGGTAATGATCAAAGATTCAAGATGGGCACTGTTGTGAAGGAAACTGGGATACCTTCTGGAAGACTGAGGGAGGAGGAGGGGAGGAGAGCCTTATTATTGTCTTGTTCACAATGGATTATTCTGCAAACAGCCCACCCACCATCGCTTCTTCATTCAGTGGTTTAGCATGTTATGCAAACCTGCCCAATATCACTAGAGCATCTCTCTTTCTAGAAATCCCAACCCCAATTTTGGGTGAGTGGTTGTTTTTCCCCCAGATAATGGGGAAATCACAGCAAGAGTTTGTCCTGCTGCATTGTGTATTTCTTTGCCAGTTGTGCTTGCAAGATTTCAGTGCAAACTTGCTTATTGTCTCCCCGTTCACAAGTGAGAGGGGCAGCCAGCATTTTGTCACTGGACAATAGATGGGCTCCCCTCTCCAACTGACACTGTGGAGTGGTCCCAGTAGGGAACGCAGGGCCAGATCAGGAAATGAATCACATCATGCATCTAGGCCACCATCTTCAACAACCTGCCCAAACTGGTAACTTACTGGTGTCACTCTGAACAAAGAAGCTGCCATGCAAGCATTGCCTTCAATCAGTGGCTGACAACACAACTTGCCAAGTCACATGTTAGATCCCTAAAACAGCCTGGATTCAGGGGGATTCAAAGGTTGGAAGTAGGGGAGGAATTCTGAAGTTCTCCTTTATACATTTTTGCTATTACACAAGTTATAAAAAGTCACTTCCAGGAGTTTCCGCTGCTTGGAGTAGATCACTCTAGTTTCATTTTCTGTACATGCATTACTATAATCTGTCGTATTTCCTGTTGCAAGGAATCCACTGTGGCTTAAGTGGTTTTTCATTTCAATTTTACATAGAAAATGCAACATGCTTACTGGCATATTTCATGATCCTTTGGCCCAGAGTTTACTTTCTTTTTTGCTGTTAATTCTTGGTGAATGTTACACGGCAAATCAGTAAACGAAGAGAAATGGACAACAGTGATCTTAATTATGAAGAACTTACTGCAAGTGCCCAGTTGATGCAGGTCAGCGTACGATAAGCTCTGAAGACATAGACAATGTAGAAGATGAGAATTACGACAAAGTCATACATCGAGACGATTTCAAAGTAGGTATATGTGCTGTGGTTTCTCCACCATGAAGATCTTATGTGGATGAACCCGATCAACAGGAAAAACTGAAAAGCAACAACCCAAGAAAGGGGTCTGTGGGGAATGCAGGATAAAAAGCCAGTTTCCAGGACAATGAAAGGTTCAAAATTAAACAGGAATTCTTGAAAAGTCATACAGATACAAAAAACAAGACAATGAAATGCAGAGTTATAGGGATTTTCCAGTGACACCATCCTAAGCAAGTTTGCATCATTTAAGTACCTTTGCAATCAGAAGGTGAAAGTGTGAGCGCAGTTAGATTTGGGTTGCCAAGAATGAGGGAGTTGCTTAAAGACAGACATGGCTCTAAGTGAAGGGTTTTGTCATCAGCAATCACATCTCACAGCTCTGGAATTATATCCTATATGCTTTATTCTGTACTACAAAAAGAACAGAATACTTTTAAAATGCTTTACACATAAATTGCACCTGTGAAATATTAGAGACAAGAAAAAATGTCACTTTTTAAATGAGGAATACATACGTACAGGTATTCATAAAAGCATCAGGAAACATTGGTAGGAAACCATTTTTGTCCAGTATTACAGATCAATACTCTATTAACGGCTCTCCAACATTTCATGAACTTTTCACCATTATGGAAAAGACCAAATGACAGACCAATACCTCTGTGCTGTTTGTCATACATAGCAACACTTTAGAAATACCACTGCTAGTTTCTGTTTGCATCCCAGAAGCTGGAGTGGGTTTATGCTATAGAAAGATATTTAAAACTAATATAAGCATGTGTCCAACCCATGATGAAAACCAGCAATGTCAGATGGCGAGCCATTATTCCAGGCCATTAAAAAAAAAAAAAAAGCCAAATGCAAGAATCATTTTTGCTTCTGCCTTCTAATCACTGAAACAAAAACCTCATTCTTGGTCTTGGTTTGGGGCAGGAAAGTCTGTGTTCCAGGATGAACTCTGTTACAGATATGTCTGAGTATGAGTAAGATTAAGGTGCCAGACATTTAAATGTTGATATTAAGGAAGGGGAAGTAGAGGCACTTGTCATTTCTTTCTTCTTGTATCTGCTGCTTTACGAAATAACAGGCAAATGCCCGTCTTATTGTGTAAGGGTGGCAAAATGGCAAATGAAACATGACCTCACACAGGCACTTATCAAGCATTGCAGAGCCAATGATGGCATCAGGATGCAGCCTTCAAACATGGCTTGGTATTATGGGAACACGCCTGCACATGCCCCTCCACGTCATGTGGCCGTAACAGAAGGCACTTTTGCTTAATAATTGCCCAGCTAATATGAACCTGGGAACAGGTGGTTATTCTAACAATGGTTTGCTGAAACAAACAAACTTCAAACCTTAGCTCAAAAAGCTAGCTTCTTTCAATAAATCATAATTAAGATGAAGCACAGTTTAGGATTTGGACACAACACCTAATCAATAACCACAGACGGCTTCTATTATCCTCCTTCTGGCTATGCCAGTGGAAGAGAAGGGAGGGGGAATCACAGAAGCCAGGGGCTCATGCGGAGTCTTTCCCATAAGAATAAACCAAAGCTTATTATTTTGCCCAAACGCATTCAATGTGAAAAGCAAATATGAATGGAGGAAAGGAAAATGACCAAATGTTTCCAGAAGAGATAAGAGATGTGCTTACTCTGTAATTTCCTTATGATAATGGTCCATTTGAAGAACAAGTTTTGCAGCTATTAATATTCTAATAAAGCCAAGTGGTTTGCTGTTCTACTACATTACGCACACTTAAGTGTGTCATTAGGAGTGATTAGGAACACGGGATGCAAAAGATCAAGGAAAATTACATTTTCTCCTCTGTATTATAAATTGTGTTGTTAGGGTGCTTGCTAAAGATCTGTGTCCAGGCAGCTTTCGAATAAGAAAGAGACTCAGAACTTTTACACAGATTTATTCAGGAAAATAGAACCAAAAAAGACAGCAAGACTTACCAAAGAGAAAGAGAAAACTATGCCTGACAACTTTCACAAAGGACCTAACCTGACTTTATAGTAGGGGTGTAGCCCTCCAGAGTTGTTGGAGTGTAACTCCCATCAGCCCCATCCAGCACAGCCAATGGTAAGGGATGATGAGAGTTGTAGTGCAACAAGATCTAGAGGGCCACAAGTTGCCTGTCCCTGCTGTTGCTGACCCACATCTTCTTGACTGGAGCTAATGGATGCAATTCCAGCTGATGCATCATCACCATGTTCCATATCGCCACAGCCAGATGTGGAAGACACACCTCCCTTACAAACACTCCCTGAACCAGGGAAATCGTTGTCCTGTGTGCAGACTTGCAGTGTTTTAAACTGGAACGAGGGAAAGGTCAGTGGTGATTTGGGGAGGAAGCTTATGGTTTGCAGAAAAGCCATTTATTTTTATTTAACTTCAGGGTAAGTAAAGGCTGGCACATCCAATGGGAGGATTCATGAAGAGGAAACAACATCTACTTGTGGCTGTGAACAGGCACATGTGGGGAGAATAAAGCAGCAGCAGTAGCAAGAGGTGCACTGAACTGAGTGCGAGTGAAGCCAAAATTGCCCAGCTTTGGTTCGTGCCAAGGAGAGGCTCCAAAGGCTGGTCACAGTGAGTGCTCAGCCAGCCCAGGTGTTAAGAGTCCATGCAAGCCCACCTGTCCTGCTGATGACAGGACTTTAAGATTTTGCAGGTTTTTAAAATGGAAAATAATCCACGACCTGAAAATGTTGAGTGTGGATGCTTACATTTCTGAACATGCGCCGGAGGAAGATGCTTGTTTTGGAACCAGAAGGGACCGTGAAATTTGACCTATGATGGCATGAAAGCTTGGGACAGAGACAGTTGGTTTGACACATGGATAAACTTGATGGGAAGAAGGCTAACTGTTAGCTTTTTTAGACTGTGGGACTGAGGCGATCCTAGTTTTAGTCCCCACTCATCCATGATGCTCATGACTAACTTTGGGCCAGTGAAAAGGTCTCAGCCTTTGAGTTGTGAGGATAAAGGGGGGGGGGGCTTCTGTGAGCTGCTCCGAGCTCTTTGCAAATGTAACAAATGTAGGATAGAAATATGCTAAGTACATAAACTAATTTACAGACAGTATAGATTTTTGTGGGGGAAAAAGAATGTCTATAGCCTTAAACAGAGATGGATTTCTGAGCCTGTGAGAAAAAAGAGGAAAAAAATCCATTCACTGATTGTCTAGACCAGTCTGGCCTAAAATCAGGATATTATAACGAAAACCTCTACCAACATTACATTGGGAAAAAAGGTGACACATCCCACCAAAGAATGCCAGCAAGTTCAAAATGATAAAGGAAAAAAAAACATTCAGAAGAAGATGGAAACACTTCACATCAACGGAGGAAAAACTACTTCCTCACATAAGCCACTTGCTAATGTAGAACCACAGAGTTAGAAGAGTAACATGACACCAAAATTCCATTTACTAGAATCCTCTAAAAGTCATAAAGGAGTGAGCAAGCATGTTTGTTCCCCAGAATCCTTCAAGACTAAGCAAAACCTACAAAGAACATAATTTAAAAACTCAGAAGAAGAAGAAACTGAGAAAAAAGAGTTGGTGGATGTGATGAAAACTCAAGTCAAAAACATACAGGAAAGGTATTGGGAAGGAACAGCATTAAATTTAGGTTCGCCCACCAAGTATCTATACATATGGAGAGGAGAGGGGGGAATCCCGGGAGGGGGGGGGGGAGATTTGTGAATGTTTCTAAAATAGACTATAGAAAAGTTTTAAAGTATTCAAAGAAAAAGCAAACAACTAAACATAGACCAACAGTTGCAATAATATCAACATCTTAATACGTAGCAGAATGAAATTTTCTAACAGACTCTACATTGAAGGTAACTAACTGGAATGTTCTGCATGTCTACTCAAAAGCAAGCCTGCATTCGCTTACATAGGACTTATCCCTGTGTAAGAATGTATGGGCTTAGCATATGAAAATCTACAGGGCAAACCTATGCATATTAACTTGGACAGTTAATATTTTGGGGTAGGATTGCTGCTGAAGGTATCTAAGCAAAGTACGGCCCAACTGTGGATTCTTTTTCTCATGGTCCAGTATGACGGTCTTTGCTTTTTGAAGCTAAGCAAAGTATACACAGAACTATTAAAAGATGATGAAATACCAAAATTGACTAAAAGAGATACCCAAGTTGTAAGTAGGATAAAATGGTACATAAAAAATCCAAAGTTACTGTGGAAAGCGGAAGAAAACAATGCGTGTTCATCAAGCAGAAATAAGAAACGTGTAAGAAACTGGACTGTGACAGATTTTAAGAGTGCACTTTATGGAGAAGATATGCCTTTATGCGTTAAAAAAACTGAGAACATACTTCAGAATGTCAAACACCAGACATTTTGCTAGACGCAGTTTGATGCTTGTCCATACTGATAGGTGAACGTTGCAGGAGTGACTTATATGATACGGTGACACAATGGAAGGATGACTGTCCCTTCGCTGGAGTGTATATGAACACCCTTCCTAGAAGACATTCACCAGCCCAAGTGCATGTTACTTTGTCTGAGCAAAAACCCATTTCAAAAACCAGCCTAAACACAGAATATATTGTCCTTGAATGCAGTCAAGTATTTGAATACAATATAAACAAACCACTGTCAGAATTGGGAACTGCATGTAGCCTTTGTCCAGGCATGGCAAATTACAGCTCTCCAGAAGTACTGCCTACAGCTCCCATCATCCCTCAGCACAAGAAATGCTTGCCAGGTCTGACAGGAGCTGTAGGCCAAAGCATCTGGAAGGGTGTGTGTTGCCCATTCCTGCTTTTGTCGGAGAATAAAATATTTATATATGTAATCAACTTTGTCCATTGCATGACACTGTGAAGGACCTTCTTTTTCCATTCTGTCTGATGAAGAGTTTTGTGCAATTCCACACTCTGATTCATCAAAATTTCAGCCAAGTAAAATGTCATTTTATATGTCAATAATCAGTAAGCTGAGGAGTTCTCTTACTTCAATAGAAGTGCATTAACTGGTGTTTTAAAATTTCTGGATTGTCCAGGTTTAGTGACATGTTCTCTTGTTTATAAAAGAAATAACAGGAAGTTTTCTATGTTATTTCAGAGAGCCAGCAATCCTTTGTATGGACGCAGTTCCAGCACACAGACAGAAATTCCAGGCCTATAAAGATTATCATTCACTTCTGTGAAGAAAGCCATTTAAGCAAAAAAGGCAACCACAAGCAAACGTGCCTTCCCCTGAAGGCAGCAGACTCTGAGCCTACCAGTCAAGTCCTTCCCTCTGGAGGAAAAATGTTCATAAACCCCCTTTCCTCATGAGAGTGAATATAATTATAACAAAGATTTCCTAAAAGGGGAACAACAGAGCCTGGAAAACTCATACATTTTCCAGTGAAAGCTGGATTCCAGCCATCATGCATGCACATAGCAACAAGAATGTGCGAAACATCAGCCTCTGCACAAGAAGCAGTAATGCCATAGCTATGTGCTTGAGTGGGATGCAATTTTTAAACTTTCAGATATCAGGGCGATCATATGCAGCAGTTTTATCTAGCTTGCACAGTAAAAAAAATCTCTTTGAGGAAGTAGTTGACAATAAAAATATCAACTTCCAGTCTTCTAACAGGAAACATACCTTTGAGACTTCCTTTTTAACACATGAATCCTGCAACTATTGCAGAAAACCAGCAGTGATTTTACAGTGTTGTCCAAAGGACTGAAAGTCTACTAATATATAGACCCCTTCTTTTTAAAAACATTGAATTGTTTTTTTGTTATGAGCAGTACAAAGACAACAGCAAAAACAATGTTACTTGAATCCTCATATGGGATAAGATTACTGAAAAAAGAAAAAAAAAAACACTGTAGTGACTACGTATTTTTATGTAGAAACTTTTTTAAAAAATTATGTTGCCCAAGCCACAAATATTGCACTTACAACCTAGTTATGCACAAGATAAAAATATAACCAAGGTAAAGGATTGGATCCAAAGGTTTTCTTCAGCAAGTGAGAAGCTTCTGTTCATGGAAGGGCTTAATGGAAGACCACCTTATGAAGAAACTTCAAATGCAGAAAACTGCTTTCATTTGCACAAGTTCTTGTGTAAGGATTTGCATGTGGACACACACACTTCCCAAGACTTTTTAATGAGGCCCAAGTGCAACCTGCCCCAACCTGGTATCTCCAGTTAAATTATTCTACAGTTTCCATTATCTGCATCCAGCATAGCCAAGGATGAAAGCGAACATCACCTGCTGAAGCAGGTGTCTGGCAGTCTTTGACAGGCTTTTCTTGCTCTGGGAAGTAGTGCTGACAAAAATAGCTAAACAGAGACTGGATACTTCTTTGCTTTATATAGCTCTTACTTCAGGGTCATAGTTAAAAGGTTTCCCCTGATTTGCAAGACTGTTTCCATTTCGAATTGAACCCTAAAGGCTATTATTTCAGCTGGCTGAAGAAGAACCCTTGTTACAACTCAATGGGCTAGTTTGGACGTTAAAACAATTCAAGATGCTGCTGAAATTACACTGGGAATAAGCAAGCGTGCTGATTCCAGACATGATCATTCGCGCACTTACTGATGCCTGAGCTGGGAACTGTGATGTGTAAATCTTCAATTCTTTGTTTTTGGGCAAGAAACATGGGTTCCATCCAACGGCCCGCAAGCCCGTTTGCACGTCATATGCCAGGACGCAGCATGCCAGCTCACTCTAACTCCGTTCACAACAACTCAGGAGTTGGCTGCCATGCAGGGCGGGTTTGCAAGCTCGCTTACCCGCAGGTAACTACGCCTAAAGCCCGCCAGTCTTGAAAAGCTGGGCGTTAACCTATGAGCGGTTTGTGTATGTGCAGCACACGCTTGTATACATATATTCCACGGTGCGCTCTTGCGCGTTATAAGGCACTGCTGTTGCACCCCATCGGAGAAAGTGCATCTCGGAGTTAGTGAGAAAAGGAGACCCTGCCTGCGCCCAGACTCCCACCGGCTCGCTTCATCCTAGCCTAGCGCGGGCGGGGGGGCGGGGGGCGGGCGGATTCCACCAACTCCCCAGGAGGGAAGGAAGGCGCCATCCTACTCCTCAGCGTCGCCTCCAGCGTCCCGCGCGGCCAAATCCGGCGCCAGAGGGATGCCTGGAGGAAAGCCCCTGCGCGGCCACACCTGCGCAGCGCTTCGCCCGCCGCTGCCACCCGTCTGGGGAGGGAAAAGGCGGGCGGCGGCGACGAACCGGGCTGGCTGGCTGGCGGGCGGGCGGGCGGGCGGGCGCACGCCTTCCTTGGAGAACTTGCAGCGAACCAAGACGCCGGGCGGGGAAACCGGAGGGAAGGAGGGGCTGCTTCCCGCCGCCCGGCCCGAGGCCGCTGCCACGCGGCCCGGGGAGCCGCCTCGACCCGCCTCGCGCTTACCATCTGGGCCACCTTCAGCATGGCCGAGCAAGAGCGCGCGTAGCCTCGGTCCAGGTGGCCGCAGCCCGGCGCAGAGGGCGGCGGCGCAGCGGAGCTGGACGCCGCTGCGCTGCTGGCGTCTGTGCGGATCACGCGCACCCCGTGAGACATTACGCGCCCCTCTGGCCGTGTCTCTCGCCTTTCGCTCCGGGGTCTCCCCTCCCAGGCTCGGCGCCGCGGTGCCTTCGCCGCTCCGGAGGCGGGACAGGGCGGGGCCGGCAGATGTGCGGCCGCCGGGCGCCTTTGGAAGGCAGGAGAGGCGCGGCGCACCAGGCCACCAGCTCCAGGCAGCCGGGGGAAACGGACGGCGCGGCCCCACGTAGCAGGGCTTGCCCGAGGAAGGGGCCGTTTCCTGAGCGAGGGAAGGGGCTGGACAGGACAGTCCCTGCGCGCTCCGCGGGCAGGGACGGGGGGAGGGAGGGAGGCAGCGGCTGGAGGGAGCGGGAGGGCGCAAAACAGGAAGGAGGCGGCGGCGGAGGGCAGAGGAGTTCGCCGCCGCAGCAGCAAAACCTTGCGCCGCGGGGGACGGGGAAGCGTGAATCCCCAACCGTGGCGCACGAGAGCCCGCGGCGAACCTGTCTTTGCTTTAACTGGGCTGCAACGCGCCCTCTGCTCTACGAAACTGCCCTAAAAAGTTTCTTTCCCCCACCCACCTCAGCGTATCGTAAGTCCCCATCCAGTTCGGTGACGGTGCCCTGAAGCGGTACTAGCAGAATATTTGGCACGTTCCGGAAGTGAATCCTTTAAGAGTTGTCTCTTTTTCGCTCTAGCTCTAAGCCTGGTTGCATGCAAAACTAGTGAAGCTGCGCTAGCTCTTGCTGTGGGTGTTGCCACCCAAGTTCCAAAATAGTAAGAGCTGAACATTAAAAAAAACTCTTAAGAAATGACCTGATTGACTTCAACTGAAATTCTTGGTATGAACAAAAAACAGTAACAGGGAGGTTCCAGAACGAAAACAAATAACATCCTGTAAAGGCGCAAGCCTGTGGGGCGGGGGCGGAAGGTCTCCAGCTTCCAGCAGGCTGGAGCCTTTTTCTCTCTAAACTTGCCTAGCATTGCAGCCTAAATGTATCTCCTCTTGTGAAATGCAAACAGGGCCGACCAGACAGACTTCTATTTAGTGATCGGAGCAAGGACTGCAATGGGCAATGTGTGTGTGTGTTGGGGGGAGGGAGGTGCCCTTCAATAAGTCCACCTTCTCATCACCGCTGTCACCAGCTGCTGTGGCTTCCCCACCTTTCTCATCACTGTTACCATTTTGCTAGCTTGGGAGGGCGCAAGCCAGTGAGCAACGAGGCGGAAGGGCCTGCGGCTGCCCCTTTCCCCACTGCTTGTTTTCTAGGCCAGGGTGAGAAGCTGGAGAACAAGCAGGTCGCTGGGCTGAAGAAGGCCCAGGACAGAGTGGTCTTTCAAGGGCTTCGCTTGGAGTGCCACTCATCAGCACTGGCCCCGTGACTGGGATTTTTAGACCTTGTTGCTCAGTCTGGTTTTTTTTAAAGCAAGATTTTTATGGATCATTTACCTACTGTATAATGAATATAATTTAGGTACGTAATGATATAGTAAAACATTTGGAAATGTTAATTCCCCTGTATTACGAGGCTTTCATAAAAATGTCAGACACCTTTGCAGATTTATGGCATGATCCAAGGTTGCTGATCTTTACCATAAGTTAGAGATACTGAAACTGGGATGGTAACATTTTAAGAATAACAGAATGCCTGGGGAGGCTGTGGTAATAGCAGTTTACATTAAGCATAACTGTCATTGCAGGCTATTTCCATAAATCTTTGGAAACATGCTGCCTCAATTTTTAGTCAATATAAAGATTATAACCAAACATCACACCAAAGATCTTTCAGCAAAAATTATGAGTTTTGTCTGCATGGATTGGCAGTGGCTCTGAGGTTTCAGGTAGGTTTCAGCCCTACCTGGAGATGCTGGTGAGACAACCTGAGACCTTCTCTGTGCAAAGCAGGTGCTCTGTCTTCAAGTGCACTTATCTCAAGAGTGATCTTCCCCAAGTCAAGGAAATGGAGGGAATGTCAAAAATATTCTAGTTCAGGGTGAGCCCCCAATAAGTTTTGGTCTACAATTCCCATCAGTTCTAACCAGCATGCGGTGAGGTAAGATGGCAATTGTAGGCCAAAAACTTGGGATGGTCACAAGTTGTTCACCACAATCTACCCCAACCCCCTATGCTACAGAATCCACTGAACCCTTTAGAGCATGGGTCCTCAGACTAAGGCCATTTAACTGGCCTGCCCCACAGGTTTTGCAATCGCCGGTGCGTGGCTTGCTCATGAGGTCATTTTGGACTAGCTTGGAGAAAATGATCCCCTTGTGAACAAGCTGGCGCCTCACCGTGCATGCACCCGGCAGTGGCTTGCTCGTGGGGAGGTCATTTTGGACCTGATCTCCTCATGAGCAAGCCGGCACCTCACCCCGCGCGCCCCTCACCGGCCCGTGCCCCCCTGCCAGCACTGCCTTGGTGGCCTGTGCCCACTGCTGGCACCGGTCAACTGGCCCCCTTTAGAAAAAGTTTGAGGACCCCTACCTTAGAACATCTCATAAAAGAGCAAACAGTGACCACTAAATCAATAGCAGCTATGGCTTGACTCTCCTTTCCCACCTCTGCAATTGTGTGCGAACTTTTGAGTCTTCTTCTTAACATACAGATGGGGCATGTGTATATGTATGCCTAAAATGGACTGGGTGACTCTTGCTACATACTGCTGCTTCTGTACAGCATTTGAGGATCCTTCCGGTGCACTTTGACTAATTTGCAGGTGCATTTTTCATTTCCTCCTCTATGTAGACTTTCTTTGAAAGGGTTTTCTTTCTTTTCCCCTCCTTTCTTGAAGAAGTGCAGAGATGGCAGACTGGCTTTTCCCTCACACACATAATTTTATTTTCATAGCAAGCCTGTAAGATAGGTTACATTAGGCTCAGAGAGAGGGTCTGGTCCAGGGTCCAGTGAGGATTTGAACTTGGTTGTCTTAGTTCTGCATCAGTCCTCTCACCTCTATAACATAGTTGTTTTCAAAGCTCTTAGAAAACTTTCTGACAGGGCAGGGGGTGCGCCTAACTCACACTCTTTGTGAATTTTTTTCATGCATATACAGATGTCTCATAGTTTCTTTTTCCTGTTAATATATCTGATGGGAATGAATGCAAACTCAAAGACTCACAGAACTTGAACTTAAAGAAGACTCATAGAATGTACCCATACAGTCATAAAATGAAATCAGAAAAATAACACTACAAATATAGGGAAAATGTTTGATTTTCATATACATGGGGATGTTTGCAGGGAGTACAAATCCAGTCCAGTGAAGATCTAATCCAGTGGAGATCATTGCACAAAGTTCCAGCTGTAGATAGATTAATTTATTGTAATTTTAATTCCTGGATTTAAAAACTGAAAAAAATTAAAACCATCTCCCTCTTAACATGTATCCTCTTGGCACATCATAGCACCAATATCACCATTAGACAAATTTATAATCAAGACTCCTGCTTAACAGTTTTTAAATGTGAAAAACAAATCATGAATATTCTGAAGACATTGTTTTACTTAATATAAACCAGTTACTTAAAAAGTCATTTTCTGCAATCAGTTTAATTTCTAGTGTATTCCTAGACACACAACATTTAGCATTAGTGAAAGCTAATTAGTCACAGTAAATTTGAACAAGAATTCACTGGTAAATTTTCTACTTCTAGTCATTTTCATGCAAGGGCTTCTAATGTAGGAACTTAGAACAAGTTAACATTAGCTTTTGGTAGTGTTAGGAAGGCTGGCTGTGTTCAACATTTTCAAAATTGTGTTTGTTACAATTACTACAGAATATTTTCTTTCATGCTGATTTAGTTGCACTAAAATGCTCTCATGCACCTTTAGGACTGTGTACAGTGGCTCTTAAAATGGAAAGCTGACTCAAATCTAGAAAGTTGATACATATAAAAATACTGCATTGGCTTTGGACTAAGTTAATTACACTTAGGTTCCATTGAATTCAGCTTGAAAGGTTAGTCATGGCTAAGACAAGACCCACTGGCTTTAGTTTAATGAGAACGAAGACTTTTAAGAGTCCTGCTGGATCAAACCAAAGCCTTAACTCTAGACTAGCATCCTGATTCCCACTGATGCTTATGGGAAGCCCACAAACAGGCAGAGGTACTGTTACGGAAGGTAGAAAATAGCCACCAGGGCTAGTAGCAATTAATAGCCTTGCCTTCGATGGAGGTCATCTAATCCTTCTTTCAGTCCATAGCAGTTAGTGACCTTCACCACATCCTGTGGAATTAAATGCCACAATTTAATTACGTCATATGTGCAGCTCTTCCTTTTATCGCTCTTGAATCTTCCACTGTTCAACTGCATTGGATTCTAGTAATTGGAGGTTCTTGTAACATGAGCCTTCTAGGAATGTGGGACAAGCAGAACTTCTATCAACATACTCTGCATCATGCTTCTTTTTATATGCTTGTATCTTGTCACTTCTTTACAGTTTCCTAAACTAAGTATCCCCAAGCAGTGTAGTCTTTCCTCCTCAGAGTACTGTTCCAGTTCCCTGAACATTTTGGCTTCCTTTTCATGCAAAATTTCCAGTTGTGCCTTGGAGGAGTGGTAAAAAGAAATGCATGCAGTATTTTAAAAACACCGTATGTTTGTGAGGGAGCTACATTATCCAAGGCTTTGTTTCCAAACACCTTCCTAAGTACACGTAATTTCATCTGCATCTAACCATTGTATATTATTATCATTTGTACTTGATCAGATATTCCCAGAATAGTGACATTTAATCTAGTTATAAGACTGCAATTCTATGCACGCTTGCTTGGACGTAAATACCATTCAACAAAGCTGGCCTTAGTACTGAGTACCAAATACTCAGTATATAGGATTCATATAGGATAGTGCTGTTACAGTTGCATTTACAAAGCAAAAACAGCAGGGAGATCCAATGACATTTTATTATTGTAGTGTAGTAATGCCTGTTGAAATATGTTATTGGTTAAAAGTATCAATTAGAAAGTATCAAATTGATAGCATCAAATTAGGTGGGATACAAATTTGCTCATAGGATGGCAGTCTACAACAGACTGGCTAAAATCAGTGGAAAGTTAATTGTTGCTCACCTAATTTTCATTGATTTCAGTGGTCTGCTCTAAGTATCAGCAAATCTGTATCCAACCTATAATACTTTGTTACAAAAGCAACTGCGTATTTTAAGCAAGTCCTTGTTTTAATCACTTACAAAACACTGTCCTTCAAACCTAACTAAAGCAGCAATCCCATGCTTATTTACAGGGGAGTAAGCCCCATTGAATCCAATGAAGCTTACTTCAGAGTAGACATGTATAATAGTTTATTGAGTTAGTCTGAAGCCTTTATCAAAAAGAACAAGGCAAAATAAATTTAAGATTCTACATAAATGTAAACTGAGATTTATATCATATTAAAACAGAACAAAATAAGGTACATTTTAATGCCACAAAAATTTACATATAACAGCATCTAATATATGTAGAACAGCATTTAGACAAGACTTAGATTAAGTGTATTCCAAAAACAATGTAATTTAAAAATTGATAAGTAACAGCTTGAGTTTTATGTCCCCAAAGCTCAAATTCTCCACTACTGTTAACAGAGGGATTACAAATATCGTTTTCTAAGGCTGGAAGCCACTCTGGGTTATGCAGATTCTTTTCTTGGAAGTAGAGGGTTTGATTTTTCTTAACATTCCAGTATTTTATTTTCTTTAATAAAGGTTCTGGAAAGTGTTCCCAAATATCAATGTATAGCCAACATCCCAAAATATAGTGAGGCAAATTCTCCACTACGGCTGCCCCACAAATGCCTTAGATCGTACGCCCTGAAATTTTCTTAGAGTGCTAGGATAAAAAGGGGTTTTATTTCCTTTTCATAGAGAATTGCATGTATTCTTCACACTGATACAAATGTCAGTGAACTGGTTTTCCCCCATCTGATTATCCTGCAGCCAGGCCAGATCCTGTATCAGGCCAGATGACACCTTAACACCCAACTCTAAAAACATGTGCAGAAAAGGCTTTGAATTCTTTCAGTTGTTTTATATTTGGAAAGTCCCAAATTTTTGCACCAAAAATTAACACTGGAACCACCTTTAATTCAAAGTTGGACACATTGTTCCTCCATACCTTAAATTAAGGAATCTATTAAAGGCTTGTATAAAAGCAAATGATAAGTTCATTTTTCTTCATTAGAAGAGCCCAGGAACCTGAAGTAGAAAAAACTTCTGTGATAACAATATGATGTTACCTGCTTTGTTTCTTTAGAATCTATGTGTAATTTTTGGAGGGCTTTTTCCTTATCAAAACCACCTACTTTGGATTGAGCTTTGTTAACAACTTTCTTTAAAGCATTGAACTGCCTCAGTAATCATGTCAGCTTGGGACAGCATAGAATAGTTACAGGGCTGTCCAAAACCTAGGCATATGAAAAATATGCAGTGCTGGAAATATATTATCAAGGGCACAATCTTGCTGGATTCCTGTAAGACCTTGAACTCAGATGCTTACATGCATCCAGTGCAGCACGGGAAAAGCAGGAGAAGTTATCTTTGTCTCCCTGTTTTTCCATGCTGCATGTTTGCTACGCAGACTTGTTCACCTCTCTAGCTGGAGCTCATCCTGACTGCCCCAATCTCTTACCCCATGCATCCCCTTCGACTGTAAGTTTGCATCGCCAACCTCAGAGAACAGCTGCTACAGTTCTTTCTGTGCTGGTTGTCAGGAGGCAAAGAAGCTTTGACCAGTCTTCTCTTTCCAAGCTGAGAATTAAAATATATCTATATATCTTATGGCCCTTCAGGGATTGCTCCCTGTTTCTGTGTGAAGCGCCCCGATTAAAACAAATAAATAAAAGTTTAAATTCCTTATTTGTTTTTACTCATTTGTTCTGGAGACTGCTTCAGCTGAGCGAATCAAATGCTGCCCTTAAAACAATAAACATAGTAAAAAGGTGCCGGCCTTTTGCTGTAGATTCACGTATCAGAAAAAAGTAAAGTAGTTAATGATGGAGGCTCTTCCTTTCCCAATTGCTACAGCTCTTCCACCAGTATATGTTTCTCTGCACAATCCTCTACTTTTGGGAAGTAATACTTGGCACAGATTTTGTCTGACAGATTGGTCTACAATTTTTCAGGTCCTTCTGTTTATCTTTTTAAAAAAATGATCTAACACTAACTTTCCAGCCACTAGGTACATAACTTGAACAGAGGTATTAATATGGGTGAACAGACCTTCCAGCAGTGGTAACCCAGCACATGTGTATGATACTACACTGCAAGACCTTCGTCATTCAGATACTTCACTTGAAAGAAAGCCCATTCAATCTCATTGATTCAGTCAAACCATTGAGAACATGCTGAGGACTTCTGTGCTTTCTTCTCCTCCTTTATCATGCATATTGCTTTCCTCTCATTTGAAGTATGAATGAATAGAGACTGATTTCATTTTGCCAAGATCGCCAGTTTTTGAGGTCCCTACCATTTCTACTTGTGTTATTCTTTTTTTAAAAATCCACATGTGAACTCATACTCTGTACATTTTTCCCAAGATGCACTTTTGTACACATTTTAAGCATATGTGTTGGCCCCCACCAAGTAATATATATTGCTGAAATCCAGTCTTAACATATGCTTTTCTTATTTTCCCTGAATCTATGCCTTTTGTGTGCATTCTTTCCCACACCCCATGAGATGAACTGCATCTGAAAGCTCATACAATTTTATTTCAGAATGCAACTCTGACTTAACTTGCTGAAAAGCTCAGAAGGTTAAAATCTATAAAAAAGCTTTGGTGGTGTAAATTTATCCCCTGTGCATTATTTGTAGTAACCTGTGATTTGGAAGTCATAGCACACTATGGTTACTCTGACTGAATTGGAGGAGACAAACATGAGGGAAGGAGAAAAGCAACTGTGTGAGTCCACAGTCTATAGTTTGATCATAATGTCTGAACTAAGTCACTGATACCCACTTCTGAGGAAAAATACATTACCTATATATTAGAAAACATCAACGCACACTTTAAACAAAATTGTATATCATATTATACCTACACATCTGTTTTTATTTTGTTGAAACAGAATATTTATTGCAAGGTCCGTGATCTCCAAGATACGAAACTAAAATAGGCATTTCCACCATAACAGGAAGTGACAACGAAGGCAAAGAACTATACAGAGGGAAAACAAACAAAAACAGTGGTAAGAAAATCATAGAAATAATTAAGCAGAGGTTTATTTGCATCCAACTTTAATTTATAGGCGTTAACAAGGAGATTTCACTGTCTTCACTGTTTCACTGCCCTGCAGGACTCAGCTGCAGAACAGGTTCTGTTCAACCCGCTGTGTGAGCGATTCTTACTGGCTTCATTACACAAGTAAAAAAGTAAGCGTTATTTTCAAAATAGCACAGTCTTGTTGATTTCAATGAAAATAAACCAGTGTGAAGTATACAGAATTTTGTTAATTGAATCGATGATGCCTGATTCTGCAAGCATTTAATCGCACAGAAATGTGATTAAACCATTTCATGACTGAAAGTCACTTTAGACTTTCATCCATTGCTGTTCTTATCAAGTGAATGGACTCTCCATCCATTTTCCAAGTTCTGATAATCCAAACACTAATTTATGTAAGAAAAATGATTGTACATGGGAACTAACTCTTACATCATTTGCTGTGTCCACATATGCAGACACATGTATTTGCATACCTTGTATTCCACACTGAGCTAATTATGAGCAGCTGTTGGCAAAGGTCAGGAGCAGCCAAAGGAGATGTGACCATTTAGGGAACCTTAGAGGACCAGGCTGGAACCCCAGGTGAGCTGAATGTAGCCTGAGGGCCTGACATTCAACACATTTGATTTAAGTATTTTACAATCCAAGTGACTTACACAAAGCTGCTATGGGTACTTTTCCAAGAGGAACACTGCAATAAAACATTAAATAAATATGATGCATGTTGTACTATACTACAAATACTACCATCCTTACCATGCTTTGTAAAAACATCCCACCTCCCTTGACTTTTCCACATTTGGTTGCATTACAATCTGGAGATGAACTTGGTTCAGGTAGCATAGTTAGCAATTGTACACAAGATACTCGGCCACGTGAAGGTACAAAATATTTTCATTTTGGCACAAAAGTTAAGCAAATGAAAACTTGCACTTATTGGTCATATAAGCAATATATGAGTCAATTTTGCCAGAAGCACCATTGGCAGTTGGTGCTTACAGCTGTGAGTCTTCTTAGGAGAGTCTTTATCAGCTTTGTGTATCTGGATCCTGCCATGCTTACCCATTCTTCCTTTCAAAATTGTTTCAGCAGTGTCATGCTGGATGGAGATGGTTGGTGAACAACTTTAGATCTCGCCACAGATTCTTAATCAGACTGGGGTGTGGGTTTGGACTGAGCCAATTCAAAGAAGCTCATTCCTGTTTTTAAACACTCCAGTATTACTTCTACTGTGTGTTTTAGGTCATTACCCTCCTGGAAGGAGAACCTCTTCTGCAGTCCCAGGTTCCTGAAGGTTCTAGAATTGCCCTGTGTTTAGCTCCATCCATCATGCCCTCGATCCTGACCAGTTTCCCTCTCCCTGCTGAGGAAAAGCACCCCTGCGATGTGATGCTGCCGCCACCAAGTTTCACTGTGGGGTAGTGTTCTTGGAGTGCTATTAGCTTTACACATCACACAGCATTTTGCAGCAAGGCCAAAAAAGTCATTGATGGTTTCCTCAGACCAGAGAACCTTTGCTGTGTCTCCCACATGCCTTTTTTGCAAACTCCAAAGAGGCATTTGAAATGGACTTGTTTCAGCAATGGCTTTCTTAGCATCATTTCCACAGAACCAGCTTTGTGGAGTCTTTGAGTGGTATTTTCCCATGAATGGTTTATTTCTATCCCCACCCCGGTTGATGTTTCTGCACTGCATTATTCTGGAGTTGTTTTGATAGCTCTTTGGTATTCCATTAGACACACTCTCCAACAACAAACTCTGGGTCCTTCCAGGAACAAGTGTATTTAATTAGAGATCATGTGGCACCAGAACTGCACACAGGTGGACTCCATTCAACAACGGTATGTGACTTCTGCAGACAGCGGCCTTCACCAGAGCCTATTTAGACACATCAGAGCAAAGTGGCTGAATACTTCTGAGACCAGCAAGTTCAAGTTTGTGTTTAGTTAATTTTTGTGTCACGATAAAAATATTTTGCACCTTCACAGTGTTGAGCATCTTGTGTACATCAAGTGGTAACGATGTCAAGTACATCTATTCCAACGGCTTGTTGTAACACAACAAAATGTAGAGAAGTCAAGGGGGTATGTTTGAATATTTTTTGCAAGGAATTATAAACCAAGTTAATAAGGCTTACCTGGACTTGTCATTTCAACATGTACCATCTACACTGCATCCCTCTTGATATAATTTCACTAGACCATGTAAAGGACCACCATACACAGAACAGCATTTGTGATTCTAAGCCCAAGAATCTACTTACTGAAGAAGCTGCCCAGCTGTTGTAGTTGTGGCTGTCCAGTCCTTTGGTGACTGCAGATGCATCTACAATGGCAGCAATGAAGTACAAAAGAAAGGCACTGCCATTAAAACACAGACCCTATAACAGAGAGCAGAGATAAACAGCACTGTCAGGTTCTCCATGTACATTAGGGTACATGTACAATGTTTTAAATAAATAAATAAATAAAAATAAAATTTCTTGCCCATGCATTGCTTTTGTAACTGAAAACCATGTGAACAATGATACAGGGTTTTAGCCTAAGAGCTTATGCCTGTGGCTACCACCCAAAAATTGCACAAGTTGCCAGATATCTTTGACAAAGCTCACCCGGCTTTTTTGTCCTGCATCCAGCTGGAGCTACTGAAGCTTTTCACAATGTTTTTGTTTGGGTATCAGTTCCAGGAATGGCTAATGCAATTTGTACCACACCCTGGGTTAAAGCTTGCAGTTAGTTAGGGCTCCAGTTCCATACTTTTTGTTGTGAGTTAGCAAGTGTGCTCTCAAAGAGCAACTCACCTTCATAATTTCATTGTGATGTTCTATACCAATGACCCTGTTGGTTGAGGATGTGAGAGCTGCACTGCAAGACACCAGGATGGTGCCAGGTTTGGGTTCCCTGTTTCCATGTAGATGCCTCAACATCTATCAGAAGGAACACTTGCCCACTTCCTCAGAAGCTGCCTGGAAAGGACTTCAGCCTGCTCCTTGAAATAAGGATAGGAAGAGCTCCAGAAGCTGCCACTAACTACGGTGTTTGCCTGGACAGAAGAGCAAGTTTGAGTCCTTCCACCAGCCAATACATTACTGAACACACATCCCCATACACTGCTTCATGGGGCAGGTGGGGATGCTTCCAAAGGCTTCCCACACTCCTGTTTGGTTCTGTGACATGCACACCTTCTACAAAGTAGAACATGGAATGTTCTGGCAAGAAGAGGGCTGAGGACAAAGAAGAGAGTCATCTTCCTGAAAAGGAACTAAATAATGTGAACGCATTTCCCAAAAAATTAACAATGTATATGAGCTTCCCCATTCACTTCACTGACAAGGGCAGTTCTGCATGCATGTCCCTTGACAGATGCAGGGATGCCCTCTATTGGCTAGTTTTCTAAAGTCTGGCAAATATATCCTGAACAGCTCCATTCTTTCTAGAATACTACATCCCCAACTCTCAGGTGGCCTGCCTATGGTACATGTGATTACATTTGTGAATTAATCACCTGCCCTTTGACAACAGAAGTTTCAGCAGCCACCTCTTAATTTTGTCATGTTGTTAAGGGTTTGGGCTTGCGATACATGTTCTGCAGGGTGTGAAACATCCCATCACACAGCATCTTGCAGCCAGCATGCTCAAGAGAGCACTTAAGCTCAAATTCCCCCATCTCTGCATTGCACAGCCGTGTCAGATATTGAAGGAGCAGATTCCCAATGCAGGCTTTAGCATTCCTTCTCCATATCAGATCAAGAATTCTGGAAAGGTTGCATAGTTAAATATGGCCATTAAATAGCTGTCCTACATCTTCTTCATTCTTTAATTTGGGAATTGTATATCTGGGATCTCCACCACACATGAAACTCTTGAAAATGGCCCAAGACAAAACATGTTTTAGGAAACTTGCCTGACACCCCAACTGTGCCAGGCGTAGAAAGAAGGAAGGCCCTTCCCAGGAGCTCAGGGAAAGAACACATGCCTTGCATGCAGAAAATCTTAGGTTCAATCCTCAGCATTTCCAGACAGGGCTAAAGAAAAAATATTGCCTGAAAGAGCAGGTTGCTTACCTGTAACTGATGTTCTTCGAGTGGCCATCTGTGCAGTCACACATATGGGTTTTGCGCCTGCGCAGTGCCTTTGGCTGGAAGATTAACAGCTAATGGTTTTTGGCGGGAACTCCGCTCCCCCTCCCCCCTAGCATTATATAAGGAGTGGAGTGTCCGCCATTTTCCAGTCTTTGAAAGACCGACGTTTGTTCCCTTAATAAAGTTTTGTCAGCATGACAAGAGAACCAAAATTATTAGTGGTACGACAAATATCTAAAGAGATTGTAGTATCGAAAGAAGACAGTCGGACCACCCATGCAACCAAGCGGGGTCGGAGGGTGGGTTGTGTGACTGCACAGATGGTCACTCGAAGAACATCAGTTACAGGTAAGCAACCTGCTCTTCTTCGTCATGGCCTCTGTGAATCACACATCACACAGAAGAAAGAACAGCTCTGCCACAAGAGCAATCCTGTCTGGCACGGACATCGAGTCTATAATGTCTGGCAAAGGTACACGGGGTAGCCCAAGTGGCCGCTCTGCATACATCTATTGGGACCCCTGATGCAAAGGCCGAAGAAGCAGCAACAGCTCTTGCAGAATGACCTCTTGGAGTAGATGGCAAGTCCAACTTAGCTAACTGATAAGACAGGACAACTGTACTTACTATCCATTTTGAAAGTCGTTGGGAAGTGACCGGACAGCCTCGGTCATGTTCCGAGTATTTCACAAAAAGTCTGTTGGAATGTCGAACAGACTCAGTCCTGGACCTATAAAAGGCTAAGCAACGACGAACGTCCAGCATATGCAGAGATCTCTCTATCAAATCCGAAGGTGTTGGAAAGAATGCTGGTAAAATGATCTCCTGTTACATGTGAAACGAAGTAGCGATTTTCGGAAGGAAAGACGGATCCAGCCGTAGAACTACCTTTTCCTTATGAAAATTCAGAAAAGAGGGGGTCTACCCTAAGGGCACAGAGTTCAGAAGATCTACGGGCTGAAGTCACTGCAACGAGGAAAGCAGTCTTCCATGAGACAAGACGTAGATCGTCGCCATGGGTTCGAAAGGTGATCGAGTCAGTGCTTGTAAAACCACTGAAAGGCTCCAAGTGGGCATCAGGGGCCTTATTGTTGGATGGAGGTTACTCAGTCCTCTCAAAAATCTTTTAATCAAAGGTTGAGAAAAAATGGAGAGACCATGTACAGTTCCATGGTAATGAGAAATTGCTGCCGTATAAACTTTTATGGACAAAGGTTTAAGTCCAGACTGATGCAATTCGAAGAGGAATTGAAGAATCTGTTGAACAGAAGCCGAGGACGCTGGAAACGAATGTGAATCGGCACATTTTGCTGCATACGATTTTCTAGTGGATGGTCATAGCGCAGATTTGAGACTATACCGTAGGTCCAGGTGTAAACTCTGTGGAGTAGCAGTAGTAGGGATCGCCGGTGGCATCGACACCGGTGCATCGCATACGGTTATCGTATCCTCCATGCAGTCAGTTTCAGCGACAACAAGTCTGGGTGTTGGATCGTGCCCTCCCTCTGGGTAATGAGATAAGGAAGAAGAGGGAGTTGGAGAAATTCCCCCTGAGAGATGTGAAGGAGGGTTGAGAACCATGGCTGGCATGGCCACCAGGGGGTGATTAGTAGCCCTGTGGCCCCTTCGTGAATGATCTTTGCCAACACTCTCATGATGAGGGGAATTGGTGGGAAAGCGTAAAAAGTCATATTTCTCCAGGGGATCATGAAAGCGTCCCTGGATGAATCCTGTCCTATCCCCGCTCTGGAACAATAATTCGTGCATACTCTGTTTTGTTGCGTGGCAAACAGGTTGATGTCTGGCTGGCCCCATCGGTGAAAAAGTTTGTCACGAACCCGACGGTCTAGTTCCCATTCGCGTGACCGCGACATATATCTGCTCAAGAGATCCACGTCTGTATTATCCATGCCCGCAAGATGAACTGCTAGAAGAGTGATACCCTCTCGGTATGCACCAGTCCCAAATCTGCATGGATAGGCGGGCTAGTTTTCGGGACCGGGTTCCCCCTTGTTTGTTCAAATAAAAGACCGTCGCCATGTTGTCCGAGGTCACCTGGATGACCTGGTGTAGAAGCACGTCCTCGAATGACTGCAGGGCTTTGAAAACAGCAAGAAGTTCCAGGAAGTTGATGTGGTTCCTGGAATCCCGATGACTCCATACCCCCTGGGTACGTAGATAGGAGCAAATGGCTCCCCATCCCAGCAGAGACGCGTCGGTACCGAGGGTTACTGTAGGGTACCGGGGCCGAAACGGAACATCGACATTCAAATTGGCTGGTTCTATCCACCATAACAGGGACTGAAGAACGGAAGCTGGGAGTCGAATCCATCTGGTAGGTGGCTCTGTCTGTGGTCGGAACATCCCGTTGAAGAACAGCTGAAGAGGACATAGCCTGAGTTTGGCATGCGGAACCACAGCGATGGATGCGGACATGTGTCCCAACAGGCTTTGGATAGACCGGGCGGGGACGGTTCTTGCTTGTCGGATCCGAGAGATGCACCGAGCAATAGCATGTTGTCTGTCTTGAGGAAGGAAAGCTCTTGCCAAAGTCGAATCTAGTTGGGCTCCGATAAAGTTGATCGCCTGTGTAGGGAGAAGAGAAGACTTCTGTTGATTAATACAGAGTCTGAGGTCTTGCAATAGAGCACACGTAAACTCAACAGCAGACGAAAGTCCTGCTTTTGTGTCGGAAACCAGCAACCAATCATCAAGGTACGGGTATATCCGAATTCCACATAATCGAAGGTGTGCACAGATAAGAGCCGTACACTTCGTAAAAACCCTTGGTGTAGTGGCTAATCCAAACAGTAGCACCTTGAATTCGTAGATTTCAGAGTCCACCACAAAACGAAGGAAGCGCCTATAACTTGGATGTACTGAAATATGAAAATAGGCATCCTTCAAATCCAGTGAGGCGAACCAATCCCCTCTTCCCAGCAACGGGAGTATACTTTGGAGTGCGGTCATCCGAAACTTCTTTGGTGTTATGAATCTATTGAGAGCTCTCAAGTCCAATATGGGTCTGAGACCCCCATCTCGTTTCGGGACCATAAAGTATCTGGAATAGAATCCGTGGAATCCCTCCGATAACGACAGGCGACGAACAGCTCCCTTAGCAAGGAGTTGGTGAATCTCGTCCAACAGTGCCGACTAGGTCGGTGTGTAACAGATTGGATTCGGTGATGGAACAACGTCGAATTCAATTCCATATCTGTGCCGGATGATGGATAACACCCACCCATCAGATGTGATGGACTCCCAAGTGGGGAGCTGACTCTTCAGTCAGTCCCCAAATGAGAGAGGGGAGGGTAGAGTTGGGATGAGAGGAGAGATTCGCTCGTCACATCAGCGTTGTCACCTGTCCGTATCAAAGTGGCAGCGACCCTGCTGGAAGTACTGGGATGGTTGTTGCCTGCGACGTTGCTGGCATTGATGCAGTTGCTGTTGCCGAGGTTGAAATTGTTGGCGGTACTGTGGGCATGATCATGACCACTTACATCGAGGCAGGGATTGCAATTCCATACGACGGACCATCATTCTCGATTCATGGATTTTCTTCAATTTGCTATCCGTCTTCGCATGGAAGAGACCGGATCCGTCGAATGGCATCTCCTCAATTCTCCGCTTCATCTCACCCAGAAAATTGCAATTACGCAACCAGGCCTGTTTGCGGAAGGAAATGGCACCAACAAGCGACCTCGAATCAGAGTCCACGTGGTGCCTCGCAGTGGAAAGCTGTTGCACTGCCACCTGCATAGCTTCCTTAACAAAGGTCTTAGCAAGTTCGCCCTGGTTTCCTGGGAAGGTATCAATGATGGCGTCTAGGTGTTGCATAAGAAAATATTGGTAGCGCGCCAGGGTTGCCTCATAATTAGAAATTCGTAAACCAAGGCCCGAAGCTGTGTATACCCGGCGGGCAAGGGAGTCAACTTTTCTTCCCTCCTTATCGCGAGGCGAGGTGTGTCCACGTGCTTCCTGGCCCTGAGAGGATTACACAACAACCGAATTCGGCTTGGGGTGACAGAGAAGAAACGGGATGTCTTCCTCCCAAACCCGATACAGAGACTCGTATTTACATGAAGTCGGTTGTGGGTGAGCCGGGAGGTCCCATGGCTGGGTCATTGCCTGCCGTAAGGTCATAATAAACAGCAAGGCAATAGATGTGGATCGTTCGCCCCTGACCACATCATAAAAACAGTCAGTGCTCGGTCCCGGTTGTTGGTGGGCTTCGATATCGAGCGACCTCACTAGCCTGGCCATCAAATCATTAAATGAGATATATGGTTCTTCGGGTGACCCCGGGCCCTGAGAAGCAACTGCTACATCCGGCGAGGTCGAGTCAGCCTCAGACTCGTCAGATTCCATCCAGTAGTGGGGTGGTACACTGGAGGAAGAATCTCCCGGTGACTCTGATCTGCCACTTTCTTTAGATGGAGCCCTCGGAGCATCCCTGGGCATTGAATGGAAATGCTCCCGAGGAGCTGGCAGCGAAGATTGTCCCCTGGAGGCCGGGTAATAGGCCACGGAGTGGTACTCTTCCCATCTCGGAGTGGAGGAGTACCTGGAGTGATACCAGTCATCAGATCTAGCATCTGAGGAACGGCTCCTGCGGCTTCTCAGAGGGCAGACGGCGATCTCGGTATCCAGCGGGATTGGAGGCATTGGGGTTGGTGATCGAGCCCTAGGCAGAGAATCTCGTATTCCCCCATCTGAGATGGAACCACGCTGTCAATCCAGAATGGGTTCGGCTGTTGTTCGGCGCGGTGAGCCCGGCGGAGTAATCCTCATGGCCGCCTGGATGGTTGGGACCGAGGGGGTCGGTTCTGTGGCAGGGGTCGGGATCGAGGAAGTCGCCGAACCCGAGTGGCGATGCTTTGCATGCTCGGGATTCCTCGGCTTTTTAACCAGCTTGCCCGCCTTATCTTTCTTGGCCTTCTTATGCACAGGATGTTTGCCTGAATCGCTGTGCTTTCTCTTCTCCTTTTGTTTCCTTGGCAGGGAAACAGACTGGTCCGCCATGGTATGAGCACCTTCTTCAGAAGGGTGTGAGGGCGGAGCAATGGAAGAAGAGGCCGGGTGTTGCGGCAGGTCAGCCGAAGTTGGACGGCCTTCGGGTGGGGCCACAACAGTGGGAGGCTTAGCCACCAGCCGGTCCAATTGGAGGAGAGCCTGGTCCCACAAAAGTTTGCGGAGGCAGTTCTCCCGGTTCTTCCTCGCCTGTTTAGAGAAGGCCAAACAATGGTCGCACTTATCGGTTCTGTGCCCTTCCCCCAAACGAAGGAGGCACAGATCATGCAGGTCCGCGGCGGGCATTTTGGAGCCACACTTCCCGCACTTGCGGAACACCGCCCGTTGCGCCATCGTAGAAATAGAAGAAAAAGGAGATAGTAAAGCGGGAAAATAATATTTTTTGTTTTTTTTTTTTTAGGAACAAAAGAGAGAAAAGAAAAAAAATGGCGAAAAGTTTAAGAAACAAGTGAAGTACTAACAACAGGAACGAGGGATACTAACTTGGTAAGGAAAAAGAGAGAGATTTTTCAACGAACGAGAAGGTAAGTAATAATCTAAGTGAGAGCGAAGCGGCATGAGGCACAACGAACGGCGGTCGCAAAGACTGGAAAATGGCGGACAGTCCGCTCCTTATATAATGCTAGGGGGGAGAGGGAGCAGAGTTCCCGCCAAAAACCGTTAGCTGTTAATCTTCTGGCCAAAGGCACTGCACAGGCACAAAACCCATATGTGTGATGCACAGAGGCCACGACGAAGAACCATAGAAGCCATGGTCAGTCAGCATGTACAACACCAGCTTTGCTGGATCAGTGGTCTGACTCAGCATATAGCAGTCTCCTATTTACTTATGTCTCCAGGCTCCTGCACTGTAGATAGCAGCTTCCTTCAACCTGGTGCCTTCAGTTCTAGGGGTTGCAACTCACCATAATTCCTAGTCAACATAGCAATCCAATACAACTGGAGAATATCGTGAGGAAAGCTAGAACAAAACCTGACTTTTTAAGAAAGTCTTTCAGTTGCACTGACTGCTTGTGCGTGTACCTTCTTCTGGTTTGTTGGACATTCCATTATTATTCTGTAGTTTTAGAGATTTCTCCTGTTAAAATTTTCTGCTGAGACCATTTACTTTTCCTTATTGTTGTGTTATATTTTAATTATCATGCATTTTATTAACATGTCACCTATAAGGAGCATGAAATGGTGTCTAGTTATTCTGGCCACATATATGAGAAACTAACATCAACAAGCTTTCTTAATCTAGCCAAAGTATACAATATAGATAAATAGGAATATTCGGGAGATTTGCTCATAAGCAAATTTGAGTGGCTACGGGTAAGGGTAGGGATGGCCAAAGAACCTGTAGAGATGGCAGGGGTTTCTACTCTTGCCAACTTTTGGACTTCCATATGAATCTTGGCCATGTGTTTTCCATAACAATGCTCATCTATTAAAGTAGATGTGGCATCCGTGGGGAGGGGGGAGGAGGTGGACCTTGATGTGCCCACTGGAGCAGCCCCTGTGCATAAGGAAATGATGCCATCAGTGCAAATTTAAAACAAAAGTTGCAATATGGATGAAAGCTCGCATACTCACGACAGTGGTCCATGGCACTTGGGGAATCCTAGTATATGTCATTGTCATGTAGATGATTAAAAAGAAGAGTGTAAGCACCCAGTAAAACACTGCCACAAACATTACCCAGCCAAAGACAGGATACATGAAATATTCTGTTCCAGCAATCAGTGTCCATACTAGTAACCCCAACACCTGCAAATATACAAAGAATGATACTGTCATACAGGTGCAAGCAGCATATATACAGATTAAAACAAAACAAAAATGTGCACTTTCAGGTGTTTTTTTAAATCTCCCCCCCTCCCCACCAAATACCGCAGATATGGAACCCCATTCTATACTTGCAGATGCTGCAGCATGTAAATCAGAAACAATATATATATATGAAGTTGGTGCCCCGAAAGGTGGTCTTCATGGGGAAAAGTGTAAGGAAACTCACAATGTGACAGGGAAAGTTATACAACAAGTATTTGTACGTAAGGGGCACAATCAACTCCTATTAGAGTAGCCCCATAATAATGGATGGGAGCTAGTGACTCACTTGTGGGAAATTTAAGTCTGAAACCACTCTAATCTTTTTCTTAACCACTATTTTATCAGTTCCAAAACATCTATACTAACATCTATACCAACCATACGAAAAAGGACACATGCAACAATATATGCTGAGCCAAAATTGGGAAGGGATGGTTCAATTTGGCAAGTGCATCCAATTCATTTAAATTTTCTATTTGTTCCATGATGTTATATTATTTAGAAATTTTCTAAATAAATAAATATTCATAATCCTTGATATATGACTATACCATATAATTAATTTCAAGCATTGTTTGATGACTGAGCGGTATTTTATTAAGTTCATTGAAAGTCAACATGAATATTTATTGTATTTTCATACAGGGTTGAGGTTCATACAGTTGTAGACTATCATTACTGATTTAGAAAATACAAATCAGCCTCTTTTAACCACTGGAGGTCACCATAGTTCCACAGAATTATTTCTTCCTAGGTATTGAAAAATGCTTGGTATTTCTAAAAACACTTTAATAAGGCTAGTCTGAGAATTAACCTTGATCAAACCTATAGTTCTGAAATGTAAGCAGCAGCAATTCAGTTACTTAATGCTTCATATAATCCATGTTGCTTATTTCAGCTCCAGTAACTGCAAATTAATTGCCTTTGATAGTTCTCTAATCTATCACATTTAGTTGCAATAGCTTCTAATGCAAAGAGGCTAAGTTATCTAACTGTCATCACTGATTTACCTTGCATAGAATGACAGACCCTAGTTTAATTAACCATAGTTTGTTGAATCATGGGTTGCCATTACATGCAAACTCATAACTATGTGAGTTGCTAACTACAGGTACCCCAGAAATAGAACTCATGTTTAAACTATGGGTGGTTATCTGTAAACATAGGATTGCGGATTGTTCATGGGTTGTTTTGCCAGAGGCAGTAGACAATATTGGGGAAGAACAAAACAAGGCATCAGCCTCTTTATATGCTGTACTGTGGGGCCACAAAGACATGTAGGATACAGGAAGGTAGTGGGTGAAAGAGGAAGGAAAAGCCAAAGGACTGAGAAAACAAACCAAGGATTCTTTGTCTGCCAGACAAATGCTGGGTAGGGCAAGAAAACATGGGTCAAACAAATCATTAGGATCACATGTAAAACAGACCAGTGTATCTTTATTTTCCCAAGATCTTGTGTTGGTCCAGTTGCAGCTGCAATGCTGGTTCCCTGCAAAAACAGAGCTCATAAGATGGTAGCCAGAAATGAAAACTGCCTCCCCTGTTTACTGTAATCCAGTCTTTGGCAACCTGGTGCCCACAGATGTATTTGGACTAAAACTCTCATAAGAATGTAAGAAGAGCCATGCTGGATCAGGCTAGGCAAGCATTCTGTTCATACAGTGGTCAACCAGCTGCCCACAAGTCCCTATAAGCAGGAAGCAAGTGCAACAGGACTCTCCCACCCAAGTTCCGCAGCAGCTGGTGTACACAGGCATATTGCCTCTGGTGTGGAAGCAACATATGGTCATCAGGACTAGAAGTCACTGATAGCTTTCTCCATGAATGTGTCCAGTATGCCTTTAAAACTGTGCACAATAGTGGCTATCACTACGTTCTTCTGCAACTGAGTTCCACGTTGCACTGTGGGAAGAAAGCCTGCCTGTTTTCCTTTCCTCATTCTCCCACCAGTTAGTTTGATGGGACAACCCTGCATTCGAATATGATGAGAGCGGGATAAATATATCCTTCCTCACTTTCGCCACACCATGCATAATTCTGTGCACCTCTAACATGCCCCAATTTACTTGCCCTTTTATCTAAGCTAAACAATCCCAGGCACTGTAACTGTACCCCAAGGGGAGTTATTCCAACCCCTTGATCATATTAGTTGCCCCTTTCTTCATTTCCTCCAATTGTGCGGTATTTTTTATAAGGTGTGGTGGTGACCAGAACTGTTTTCAGTATGTACATACTGTATGGTTGCACCTCAAATGTACAGTATATAAAGGCAGCTTTACTTTCAATTCTTCTCCTAACTATGCCTAAGATGGAGTTTGCCTTTTGCACAGCAGCTGCATACTAGGCTGACATTTTTAGAGCACGGCACCAAGATTTCTTCCTTGGCCAGTCACTTCTAGCTCAAATCCCAGCCAGTCTGTCTACTAAAGAAGGCTTGTTTTAACCAATGTTTAGCAGTACAGGTTTACACGTTAATAATCTACATTGTTTTTAAAAACAACTAGAGAAGTTAAATCATGAGCTATGAGATAATTGCCCATCAATGTGCTTTTTATGCAAGAAGCATTCTGCCCTATTTTCAATTCTTTCATTATGTGTAGTTTAGCTAACCTTTTTCAGACTTATCTGAGAGCCTGTGCATTCTCCATCCTTTTCAGACCTATGATTCTAGCTTATTGCTTAGGGCCTTTGCAGCAGATACGCATCCAGTGCGAGGGGGTGAGGCCCAGTGGTGGCAAAAGAGATGTAGGGAGAGCACAGGAATGTACCTTTTGTCCACCTCCTTGGCAACTATATATATTTGACTAAGATTTGCTCAACTAATGCTGCTCCAGGTACTGTGTGAGCTTTGAGGCGCAGTTCATTTATTTTGGTCACAATTCTAAGATTTAATGGATTAAGGGGTGTTTGACATTTTCAGCTAGTTGTGGCAAATGGAACACTGCATTTTATTGAGCCTGACGAACTCCAAAATAATATTACACATTTCTTGATTAGAATTTAAAAGGTCAGGGCCAGCTCTCAGCTGATAACATTCTCAATCCATATCTGTGTATAGGTATGAAATGCAGCAAATAGATTTCCACAGTGTTTAAATGTCTTTTGCAAATTGATTCAACATTCACAGGCCTAGCCAGCTAAGAAAATATATGAGGTCCTAATACTACAGACTTCTAGGTCCCACACTAGAATAATCCATTCGTTATTAGCTGGCTCTCTCATTCAATTCTGTATGTTGAAAAGTTGACTAAGTACCACAATTATGTAAGCCCAACTCATAGTATTGAACATGCACCCACATTAATTTGTTTTTGGCATTTGCTGAAGGCTTTGCTTTTTCTACAGGCATTTGCTGATTGATTATTGCATCCCGGCCGTATTTTTATTGATGAACTTGTAATTCCTAGTACATTATTTTGTATTTGGTGTTTTAACTTGCGGAATGCTTGTTGTATATCACTCCAGTCTGTTTTGATGATAATAATTATAAATAAATAATAAGAGTTGTCCCTTATGTAAAGTTACAATGGTAGTACTTCAACAACTGACACAGAAAAGTTAACTTAGTCAGATGCAACTTAGTTCCCTTCTGCAGCAGTGTGGCAAGACAAACTGAAGCTGCATATGCTCCAATGTGCTTACACAACAATTAAAATCTTTTATTTCAATGTCCTGATCTGCTCTTTAAAAAAATCTAGACTTCAAGGAAAACAAAACTATTAAGGGCATTGCCCAAAGTTAAAGTGTTTTGCATCCATTCATTTCAACAGGAGGGTTAAAGCATATGGTTAAATCTCTGCCATTAAACTCAATGGATCTAAAGGTGCTTGGCTTGGCCATATTCAGTGCATGGCTAGTGCTATGCACTCAGCAGCAGAAACTAAAACAGGCTTCAGGTGAGCTTTCAGCAGTCACCAAAAGCAGTACTTTGGTTTCAATCCTTTCCCCTGGCCTCAGTTCTGCACTTGTCTTCGTCCAATTTACATGCGTGTTGGAGCTCCATCCACCTTCCCCAGAATCTAAGAACATACAACAATGGGGTTTTTTTAAAGTCCAAATTCTGGAAATGGATAAAAATAGATAAAAATTCTGGAAATGGTTAAACTTGACTATTGTTAAACAACTGTAAAGGGAACCTCAAATGGGATTATTTTATGCCACTGGTAGAATTTGTAATTTGGTTTTGAAACAAATCACACAATACAGGCATTTATTGCCAAATGACATAGTATAAATATACACTAGGAGTTAGAAAAGTTTCCAATTAGCTTTTCACAAACTACTTAATGTGATAATAAAGCCAGTGGGTTGTAGTGGCTAAGAGCATGGGACTGGGACTCAGGTGATCTGTGTTCTAATCCCTGCTCAGCCATGGAACCAGCTGGGTGACTTTGGCCATTCACAGACTCTCAGCCCAACCTACCTCACAGGGTTGCTGTGAGGGTAAGATTAAGTGCAGGAGGAAGAAACACAGAATCATAGTAGAGTTGGAAGGGTCCAGAAGGCTATTGGGTCCAACACTCTGCTATTGCAAGACACTAAGTTACACCATCCCACTTAAATGTCTGCCCAAATGCTTTCTGAATGTCTCCAGTGAGGGAAAATTCACAACTTCCCCAGGTAACAGGTCCCATTGTCCTACTGCTCTGACAGTGAGGAAATTCTTCCTGGTGTCTAGTCTAAATCTGGTTTCTTTTAACTTATGTCTGTTATTCTATGTCCTGCACTATGGAATGAACAAGGAGAGATCTTATCCTTCCTCTTTGTAACACCCTTTGAGGTACTTGTACAGTGCTGTCATATCTCCCCTGAGTCTTCTCTTCTTGAAGCTGAACATGCCTGGTTCTCACAATCTTTCCTCATAGGGCTTTGCCTCCACCCCGAATCCCCTTGTTGCCCTTCTCTGTAACCTTTCTAGGTTTTCTGCATCTTTTAAA